GTGACCGCGTTGTCTTGTAGCTCGGCCTGTGGTTGTTGAGAAGTGAAAACAGCCGTAAGAAAGTCTCAATAATTCAGTTTTCAGGAGAGAAATTGAGCTTTGAAAGCCACAAATCTCAGCACCTGGTGGAGATTTGAAGTATTGATTTAGATTATTTCTGTCAATGTCCTGAAGACGTCATTTGGTCATTCTGTCCTACAGGGCAGTTAAATTTTCATCCTTTAAATCAGTGGTTCCCAACCTTTTACCTGAAGGAAGGAAATTAGGAAATTATTGATTTAAGATTATTTCCTGTGAATACTGCATCAGATTTTAGTTTTACTGATGTTTTTATGAACTTTTATACAATTATCTGTCTGAATAATGTATTTTATTTATATTTAACAATCATACAGACTGTTTATCAGAGTGAAGCCCCTGTGAAGATTAAAACCCTCTAACCTCTAAGCTACAAACTGGTGGTTACCGTAGAAACATGGCAGACCCGCTCCCTCTGTCGATAAAAACGTCTCATTCTAAGGTAACAAACGATTCTTATTTTCAGGTGATTATACACTAATGAAAACATACCTATGAATATTATATTATATTTCTGACAATAGATCCTCCTCAGTGTTTCACTCTGGAGCTTTAAGTACAGTGTTACCTGTATGGAGGCCGTACGCTCTGCTTCTGTTGTCCTCTCTGGATAATTGTGTTCCTCGGTGTTGTCGACGCTGAGAGGCGTGTCTCTGAGAACATCCAATGAATCACTGTCGTCACCCGCCACCAGAAACTACTTTGTCCCAGTCAGATAAGAATATTAATTAAACACGCAGCAACAGTAACATAAATCACCGCTTCTAATCTGGTGTGTGATTTATGTTACTGTACTCATGTTGTATGAAACATGTGTGTGTGTGTGTGTGTGTGTGTTGAGAGCTTTGATGGCACTGTAGTAATTGTTGTATAATAGCAGCTGGTGAATTATTTAATTCAGACTGCTTCCTTTGAGCCAGCAGCTGGCCCTCTCGTCAGCAGAGTGCACACACAGACACACACACCTACACACACACACACACACACACAGACACTGACACACACACACACACACACACACACACACACAGACACACACACATACAGACACACACACAGACACACACACACACACAGGGAAACATTGGCACACACCTTGGGGTGCAAGCATACACACTTATCTAGTGACACACATTGACATGAATGCACACATGCACTTATACTGTATACAGCAACACACACACACACACACACACTGACTAATGCAGTATGGAGGTCCTTGGAGACACCATTGCAGAGTGCTGTGTGTGTGTGTGTGTGTGTAATAAATAGATGAGAGCTTGTTCAGGCTGCAGTTCTCTGTCTGAAACCTTTTCGGTGTCTTTCCTGTTGGATGTTAACAGTCAGTCGTCGTTGGAGATTACACAATGAAATATTAACTCTGGCTCATAATTGTGTGAAATGAAAAATAAAGCACATAAACAAGAGCCGTGTAACCTAATTCACTGCATGATGAAATCTCCCCACTTGTTTAGTTTATAGATCAAACAGCGTAATCGTTATTTGGGTCTTTTTCAAGCGGAGGTCTTGTATCTTTGCAGTGAAAGTGTTTTGTTGATTCTCGCCTGCAGCTCTGTTTTTCATTACACAACAGAATTCAATTACAGGAATCAGATTGAGATGTTTTGTTGGAGAACAGTGTCGTTTTAATTGGATTGTAAGCAGTCAGTTTCCTCTGGGCTCACGGACCATGTGGCACATTGTTTTCACATTTACACTCAGGATTAAAAGCAGATCACGGTCTAAATAAGTTGGCCAAACAGCGGAGTTAGAGAGCAGCCCTCGCACGGCTCGTATGGCAGATCTTCCTGCAGCCGCTTCCTGGGATGGAAACCGATGTGTCCGTTAGACGAGGTTGACAGAAATAATTACGTTGACAAATCAGACGTTTTCAGTCTTAAAGCTCTCGACTGAAGTTGAGCAGTGGTGAAGAGTACATTTAGTATGTATAGCAAGTATAATAAGTATGTTAAAGCAACACTTTGTAAGAGTTTGAGTCTAAAATAAACAGATTTTGTTGTGATTCAATGTCAATAAACAGATGAAAATGATGCCATAATCACTACATCAAGATACCAATGTGTAATAAGTCTGAATTCATTCTTCATCGACGAGCAAACAGTTCATAGTGAAGTAAAACCGATCAATAGCAGTCGCCCAAATCACATCATTTGTATCAACCTGTACTATCAAAAGAGAATAAAACTGTCTAGAGTGGCAACACATCTTTGAGCCTTATAATGCTAATCTCTAGTCCCAGATCAGTTTACCAGTAAACCAGCAACTAATCTGTCCACGCACTATTTAAATCCTCTATTCTCCTCGGACTGGGAATCCAGAACTAGCCTTGCCAGGGAGACTCAGGACTAGTAGTAGAGGTTAGGCCAAACATCGAGGAACGTTGTGAAAGCGACCGTGGGCCGCGATCGGTCCGGCTCTGTCGGTCTCTCTGGGGAAGATGGCGGGCCCCCAGCGTCGGGAGCCTCGCTGCGTCCGTCCTGGTACTCAGACAGACGTTGGTACTGTGGCTGCTCGCTGGGCTCGGACTGGCTGGGAGGGCCTGGCACACACTTTGAAATATTAATGACCTACTGTAGAGAAAGGACTCAACCTCCCCCCTCACTGCCTCTCCCTCCCTCCCTCCTCTCCCTGCTCCTCTTTCTCTCTTTCATCTCCTATCTCTCTGTTTCTATCTTCCTCTTCATTTACCTCTTTCTCTCTCTTCTTCCTTCACCTCTCCCCCTCTCTCTCAGGAGGGTTGTGAGATTGCGTTCTGTCGTATTAAAGAGACAGGCGCGCCGCAAAGTGAAAAATACGACATAATAAGAATCATCGGAGGAAACTTGTGGATTCAGCATCGATTTTGGATCAGTGTGAATCAAATTTTCTCTGAAACTTTCAGGGGAATGTGCTTTTTCCTCTTGCTTTCATCTCTTTCTCTCAGTTCCATATTCCATAAATCTCTCTGTGGCCTCTCTCTTTTCCACAGCCCGAGTCTGTTTTTATCCTCTTTGTCACCCCACCCAGTATTCCCTCCTTTCTCTTGTTCTGCTTTGGCACATCAAAGAAGAACTCCACTGAGGAGAGAAATGTAATGTGAAATGCTGCAGCTGTCGGGGTGAAGACTGTTTCAGGTTGTTGTCGATGTTGTGTGTCTGTGGCTGCTGCTTGCTGTAAATAAGTCATACCTTTCTATACAGCAGGGGTTTCACAGTCTGACACTGAGACCTAAACAGGAAGTACAATGTGCTGTTAGCTGTGTGCGTCTGTTCTTTAAAGCTTTATTTGTTTACATTTTGGCAAATTTAAAACCATTTAAAGTATGCTGAATTAGCGATTAGCCCTTTCTGTTTGCAGTGTATCCGTTGATGTGCAGATTAATACCACTGGATTCATTGATACTGAAGAAAACTTAAAATCATTAATATTCTCAGGCAAGTTCTGCAGCGTCTTTTTCAATGCACATTTATGGACCATTTTTTACTTTTAATTTTCATACAAATATCTGGATCCAATCCACAGATGCTTACTTTAGTTTTAATCAGTGATTATTATTGGTATGTGTGCATATCACAGATATCACGATGACAAAAACATCCAGTAGAAACCAAGAGAGCCCTTTTTACTTTCATACTTTGTGTACATTTCAGAGCCTGTACTTTTCCTACTAAAAGTAAGATTGTGCTTGCTCCACCTCTGCCACGGTGCTGCTTGTGCTAAATTTGGCACCCGATACACAAGAAGAGGCGCTGTCACCGCTGGCTGATGAATGAAATGTGTGGCTGCATCGCTCGAATTTAAGAGATATTTTGCAACTAAAGCCTTAATTAAATATTATCACGAGTGAGGCTCACCCTCCTCTTCTCACAGTAAATCCCCAAATTTCTCATCACTTTCATCACTTAAAGGGAATTCTGCTGCCGGCTCAAAAAGTCAGACGGTACAGAGTGACAAGACATTAAGGAGGGATGGAGGGAGACAGCTGGTCTGATTGTTATTGTGGTTTGAGGGTTGAGAAGAATCTGTGCGTAAAATCTGCTCATTCACGTTTTTATAGAAATGTCTGTAAGGGTTGATGTTTACCTGAGAAATGTGTGATCTTAATGAAGAGAAAAAGCTGTTCATTTAGTCTTAGTGCTGCTGCAGCCTTCACTTCAGTCTGACGCCACTCGATTCAGACACGTTGAAGTGCTGAATGTTATTAGGTCTGAATCTGAAACACATGGAAATGGATTGAAATTACCAAATATCCTGGAAATTAAATGTAATTGTTTGTTTCTGTGAAGAAAACTAAATGAAATGGTTATTTTTAAGGTTTTAATTGTTATATAAAACATATATTTTAAGAGTTACCTGTCTGAAAGGTGCTTTCTGATTAATGTAACACATCTGTGGTTGTAAACCGGGTTCCTCTGACACACAGCCAGTGCTGGGCTTTATATGTTGCTAATAAACAGAAGAAAAGCAGGCTCAAGAGTTACGGAGAGCAGAGATATTGTTGGTTGATAAATGATGTCTGCGATGGAACTGAAATTAAAATAACAACGTGTTCGATTCTGTTTATACGACGCATCAATATGTTTCATTTTTAATTTTCTTGATAGAATTGCTTTCCCCTCTTATCTGATTAGTCATCTAAGCGTTCAATAGTCTGTTTTTATGGAGAGTGAGCTCTTAGTCATTAGTCATTAGTGGAAAATGACATCTCCACCATTACAATGATATTCACAAACATGTTTAAATATTAAAAGAGATCCTTCAGCATGACTGAAGACGATAGTGCTGGAGAAATCATTTCAAGTTTAAAATCAATGCTTCTTCTTGTTCCTACAGTTGGATGTTTAAATGATGATTATTTTATGTTATGTTTGTATTGATCATAACCAACATCTTCTGTTCTTTCTCTCTCTTCGCTCTCTCAGACGTGGCTGAAGAACTACGGCTACCTGCTGCCTCACGACGTCCGTACGTCAGACCTGCGGCAGGAGAAAGCCATGCAGTCCGCTGTGGCCGCCATGCAGCGCTTCTACGGCATTCCTGTGACGGGAATCCTGGACGAGACGACTATAGAGTTAGTCACTAAAACCCTAACCCTAAACCCTAACCCTAACCCCTACACACAGACAGACATTAGAATTCAGGTGTTATTGCTTTAGACTTCCAGCAGAAGTAAGAAATGATCTAATAATGCTTTTGCAAAACTAACGTAATAAACGTAATCTGTTGTTCTGCAGAACTGTCCAACAAGGTTGTCCCAATGACTTTTAAACTTTAAACTCTAATATAATACCAGAATAAGGCACACACAGTAGATGGATCTATAGATAAGCTGCACACAGCGCTGGTACATAATGAGGACCAGTTCTTCCACGTTCTTTCATCTCTGCAGCCTTGTAGATCTGTTCTTTTACAGCTTTGTTACTTTTATAATATTGAATAATTGTGTCGTAACGTTTTAAACGTGCGGTATGAAAAACATATTGACGACCTTATTGTCCAGTTTCAGTGTTCCTGCAACCGTAGGGAACTCTGTATCGTTCAATCCATGTGAGAACAACACAAACAGTAACAGCAACGGAGTACTCCGGGCTTTTGTGCCTTTAATGGATAGTGACAGCAGACAGAATAATGGGGGTAGAGGGGATGACACACAGCAAAGTTGTACTCCAATCTAATCCCACAGAAAAATCATATTTCCTTTTCTTTGTAAAACTGATGTCTGATTCAGCTACTGACGCCAGTGTGTAGGATGTTGAATAAGTGAAGTCAAAAGCAGATAACTGATAACTCAAAAAAAAACCACTGATCTTCAGGAAGAGAGTGAAATTGAAATGTTGTGTTCAGGTGGATGAGGAGACCTCGCTGTGGTGTCCCAGATCATCCTCACACCAGCCGCCGACAGAGGAATAAACGCTACGCCCTGACGGGACAGAAGTGGAGAGATAAAAAGATCTCCTATAGGTATCTATCACACATTTTCTTTGTATTTTCTTTCTCCATCCTCCTCCCTTTCTCTCCCTTAGTGTTTACCTCCTTCCTTCTCTCTCTCTCTCTCTCTCTCTCTCCCTCCCAGTCTGAACTTGGCTAGGCCCAATGTAAATTAGCTCCGTCCCACGGGACCCTGAATGCATCTCGTATCCCTGCACCACATCCACCCACTCGTCTCTCTCCGTCTTTCTCTTCATTCCTCCTCTCTTTCCACCTTATTCCTTTGTCTCCTGCTGTCTGCATACAGTAAAGCCCTCCACTGTACGCCATGGCGATCCAGCCGGCTGCTCAGCCATGTAATATAGGTCTAATGCAGATTAGAGCCGTCCCACGAGGCACTGAACACATCCCAGCTCCCATTGTTGCTTCTGCCCACTTTATCCTCTCCTGCCTTCCCCCTCTCTTCCTCTCTCTCTCTCTTTTCTCCCACTCCCTCCCTCTCCTGCTCTCAAATTCAAAATAAACTTCAGTGTCATGAATAAAACAGAAACAATGCGGCATGTATTTGTGCAGTTCCTCATTAAAAGTAAATAAAGATTAAGTGGCTATTGTCCCCCAGCATATTGACACCCATGACGTCTCGTTCCCGTCTTCTATTTCTGCCGTCATTGATGAACAAATCAAGCTCCAGTTTCAAATAACAATGCTTGTGATCAGATGTTAATTCAGGAACCCTCATAGGCCTTTTCCACCACGGGAACTTAAGAAAAAAATCTATGTATAGACTCATAAAAAAATAATCCCTCCCTCAGTTATCACAGACGCTGTGCAGAGAGGCCACAGCGGACAGGATGAAACTGTCCTCTGGCTGCATTCACACAAAATCCGGCAGTGTTGCTCCTCCCCGCAGGGTTGTGCGGAGGTGCGGCTATGTTTGTGGTCTGGTTGTAAATTCTGGACTGCAATAAGTGAATACAGTTCACCCGTATTCTCTGCCAGCCTCGAACTTACCGTCCTGCTCTCGTCCACTAGAATGACATCCAGTCTGCATGAATCCATGTTGTAAGTGTAGCATTAATTATGTAAGCTGAGCGTGTGTTTAGAAAATTACCTTGAGTGTTTTAATACAGGCGATATTCTGATTCATATAATCTCTCGTGTGTTTTGCTGCCTTGTCATGCATTTGTTCTTGTACACTGTACATTGTTTGTACAGTATGTGGAGTATGTTACTTTATGTTACTCTCTCTCTTTTTCCCCCTTTTCACTTTGTTTTTTAATTGTTTTCTTTGGCACAGACCCTGTTCACCCTCCCTCTTTTCTCTCACTCCTCCTTTTATCCCGTCTCTCCTCCTCTTCATCCACACCACCCTACTCGGAGCTTTAAAGGTCTAATGTAAATTACGCCACTCCCACGAGACACTGAAGGCATCCCAGCTCTCCTGCATTACAGCAACCCACTCTACAGCGTTACATAAAACCCACAGTGTGAGATCACAGTCCTATCTGGTTACCTCTTACTGTATCTGAGTCTCCTCGTCCTTATGTTTCACCTGCTATCAGCTGTCACATTCCCACTGTACAGCTCTGTGTTGTCTTCAGTCCTACTGCCACTCTTCAGGCTGCATTACTGCAATCATTTTTAACCTAATTGTTCTTCATCTTAGGCGCCAACCCATCTTTAGAGCCAGCCCCGTCTCCTACAGATTACACTCATATGGAGCTAATTTGCATTGGCTAATGTTTCGGAGGACACGTAATGCTGCCTGGATACATGATTTAATTTACAGATTTATGTTCACTGGCAGCAATCTTTTCTTCCAATGCGTGAAATAGGTTGATGTTATTCCTCGCCCCATGATACCTCGCATTAATTATGAGCGTGACTTTACAGTTATTCCTTTCACTGCCGCTTGTAAAGATTATGGTGCAGACGCACAGAATCAAATGAGGATGCACCCGACCAGTGAACGCCCGCCTGGTAGATAATGTCACTGTAAGTTGGTGATGATTGGGTTTAACCTCGCAAGGAAGCTGGACTCTTGGGTCGGGATGTCACCAGAAATGTAGTAATTGATACCAATACCAGTGAAATTTACAGTACAAACAGTACAGCTCAGTATGTGCAGTGTGGACTGAGCAATGCACCAAACCCCTAACTGTTCCCGGTAACCCATCTCTCCACATTTGTGTGTCTTTAAGCCTGGTGTGATTGTATTTCAGGCCTATGTGTGTAAAACACTGAGTGAAAAAGAGAATTTCCCCATTGAGGATTAATAAAGTTGCTTCAGTCGTCTGGGGATTTTATAAATGCAAACGTTGCCACTAACAAATGTAGCCTCTTCAAGGACAGGCCTTACCAGAAACAATGATCTCCAAACTAGAGATAAAATGAATCACTTCATAACATGGGGAGACTGGAAATGGATGCCCGAGTCACGCTATATAGTACGGCAGTGTTTACATGCACCGACCAAAAGACTTTGGATTGGTTCTGCAATGCAGGTTTCTTTTAAACTCTCCCATTGTTTCCACCCAGTTTTAGCAACAAAAGCCAGGAGAAAGCCTTTAGAGACCACCTTGTGAGTCTAAAAGTATTAAAACATCCTTAGAGAACTTCTCAAAATACTGCTGCATAATCCACTTGTGCATTGTGTATCTGTACCTGAGTGTGTGGCTGTTGACAGTGATAGCGCCGCACAGAAATAGTGAACCATACGTTGCCTCATGATACAGGTTTATTATCCAATTCAATCTCACATACTACATAGAAACAATGAGAAATGAAGTTTCTTCTGGTTGTGCAGATATATTTTAGAAAGCAGAGATATTTAAGGATATTGATGAGCTCAGTCAGGAAGATTTTCCTCTCTGCTCTGAACAGCAGTTTTTGGAGCAGCTGGAGCAGTGCGCTGACATGACACTGACAGCAATGCAAAGAGACACATTTGGAGGAATTTTAGGGCTTTTGGCAACTGTAAATTATCACCCGCTGCTAGAAGCTGTAGCTGCAGGATTATGCAACTGTGTCTCTAAATGAAAACTTCCATTGATGCTTCAGGACAGGGAGGTGAATTTTAAATACAGACAGAAAGAAAGAGAGGCAAAGACAAGGGAACGGATAAAGAAGAAAGACAGCAATCGCAAGAAAGATGCTTCACTTTGATGTTTGGGCTACATTGTTCTTAACTTTCCTGCCAACGAAGCAGGTTTGATTGAAAGTGAGTTGAAAGAGGCAGAAATAGAAAGAGAACATCTGCATCTTTTAGCTGCTCTGCTCTGACTGGAGGTACTCTGAGGATGATGAACTGATGTAAATGTAGGAATCACAGATTTGTTTCGTCTATTTTTAGTCACGCTAGTGGCGCAGCTCCAGGGATGGCAATGCCTGTCTGTCTGTAAGTCTGTCTGTACACCACTTTGGTCCAGAGTGAAATATCTCAGCATCTACTGCATGGATTGCCACAAAGTTCTGTACATATGTTCATGAGGATGAATCCCTCTGGCTTTGGAGATCCCTTGACCTTTCCTGTAGCACCACAATGAGGTTTTGTCTTTCAGTGAAATATCTTGAATAGTATTGGATGGAATGGCATCAAATTTAGTACAGACAGTTATGATGCCAAGAGGATGAATTCTCTGCATTTTGATCCTTTACGCTCAACATTTGTCTTTGTTAGGAATATTTTAAATTTTAGTTCGTGAGCTGATTCAGCAAAATCGTTCATGAAGGATTTTTTTACTTCCAGTCATATTTGCCCGTTATCTTCATTTGATGCCATTCGTTTCCATTCCCAGCAGTACATTTTGGTATTTAAATGCATCGGGTGTGTATGGCTGCTGTCTCTGCATACCCAACTGAAGTGCTAGACGTGTGTGTGTGTGTGTGTGTGTGTGTGTGTGTGTGTGTGTGTGTGTGTGTGTGTGTGTGACAGTACACCATCTGTGTGTTTTGGCCACAGGTCATTTGGCCAGCTTCACTTCCATAACGTTCCACACCATTTACTCAAATCAGACAACTGCTACCTAGCTGTCTGCCTGGCATACACACACACACACACACACACACACACACACACACACACACACACACACACACACACAGACACATCAATCACTGGGCTTCAGGGTGGAAAGTTGGATTTAGAAATACATTTTAATAAATGGATTTGCATGCAGGCAGTTACGAAATGCAGTAAAAACTTTAACTCTGAGGTTCTCAAACTTACTTGTGTCCACAACAGCAAACAGATATTATATGCATAAACAGACAGAGCACCAGTTCAGTGTCTAAAATATGATTGAACATCCATCAACTGCACAAACGACGTTGTCGAAGATTTCCAAATATCATCTTATGCAAGAACATGATAAAAAATGTTGTCAAAACAAGCTTCAGTTCATTTTTCTCTCACCGATCAGTTGCTTTATGTAAATCACAATGAGTTGTTTACTTAAAGATTCGCTGCACAACGTCGCAGCAAACAGCCTGTCAGAAAAGTCGAATAAAAAGGGCTTAAATTTACTTAAGAGTCAGTGTGGTTCTTCGAGATTAGCTGAGACAGCACAGACTCTGTCCAAACACACTAGCAGCCCTCAAAATACATTCCCTCCGACTCTACAACAACTTCTCTGTAGTTCAAGTCATGGTTCATATCTGCAGTCACCCAGAGTTTCTTCACATGAACAAAAAACATACTTTTATCAGCCTTTATAGATTTTCTCATTTAATCAGAATTACATAAACTGATGACATGTTTCAGAAAATGACACATTACTTCTGTTTGTGATCCTTTTTCTCAGCACCATCCCTCCTAAAATAAGTCTGTTTGGATTGCTGTTGTCCGACCCTTCTCTCTGTAGGAGACAAGAGGAAAATACATTCACACATACACCGCCTATATAACATACCTGATGTTTCCATCAACGTATTTTTATAAACTTTCTGAAGTATTGCTAAAAAGTTTTTACACTTGCTGGAGGTGGTGTTTGCCTTTTAAGGAAGAGTTGATGCTCTTAATGGGAGATGGACACACTCTCTGAATAAGTTCTGACGCAGCAAACATTTAACTCACATGACTGATGAGCTGTTTCTGCTCCGACAGTCTCCTCATCGCTCATCCACGATCGCTCCACGCAGATCTGAAGGAGCCATTAACACCAGGCGTGGACCTATCCTGACGTCAGTCAGTGGTTGTTTCTTCTTCATGAGACAGAATACAGGTTTAAAGTTATTTTACATTGGCCTCACTGAAACCAGGAAGCTCTGTCCACTAATTATTCACTGTCAATGATTAATACATGAAACAAACAGAAACATCTTATTTTCATCCTGTTGTCTGCATTGTTTTTCATGATTTGAGCTTTAAATGGACTGAAAGGTTAATAGACTGTACTTTCATAGCCTCTTTCTAGTCTGACCATTCATACAGTGATGGAAAGGGCTCCTCACAAACAGTAACACACCGATAGCACAGCATCAGGAGCAGTTTGGGGTTCAGTATCTTGCTCAAGGACAGTGGGAGGAACCTCCTGAGCCACAGTAATCAAAGGAACTGCCGCTCTTTTAATTACTTATATTTGCATAATGGTAGTGGATGGAAACAGGCATTCATTTGCATTTTCTATTGCAGATTTATTTGAAATTCTGTTAAAATTTGCAATACATTAGGATGGAAACATGGCTATACAACCCATGAAATATCTATTTTTTTTGGTGTAATAACAACACTTTATTTCCATATTTTGTCACCTTCAGCGAATGTTCAGGCTCAGTTTCTATCTAAGGGAAGAGTGAACTATTTAACATATCTACATATTGGGTTATAATCTAAATCTAATCTAAAAATCTGATTATTATTACACAATATCAGTGGGGTCTGTGGCACCTCCAACAGTGAGAAAGTAACACGAGGTTTAAGAGCCAGTAAAGATTAGCTGCAGTCAGCACTGAAACATTTCTCATTTAGACTCAATCTGCATCACCCAATCATTCAAATCATGTTTTATATTCACTCCATCACAGCCCAAAACAAGAACATATCCCTTCCCAGCATGACACAGTGCCCAACTACTCGTAAACTACGGAAAGTGCGATAAACATTTCTATTTCTTTGCCAGATGGACTTATTTATTCGCATCAGGAAGCTGTTGTGCGCTCATGTGTGAATGTTGGATTATGGAAACAGTGTAATGTGCTGATATTTATTTCCATAATGTATTTTTCTGGTTGGGAACAAAGCATTTGCCCCCTGTCGAGAGACAGATTGTGTGAAATAAACTCAACCGTGTGCTTTCTTTGCTGTCTTATCCCTCCGCTTCTCTCTTCATCTCGCTCTCTTGTCCCGGCTTTTCTTTTCCATTCTCTCCTCTCTGCTTCTGCCAATCACTCCATCTGTCCTCCAACGCTCCCTCCCCTCCTTGTTTCTGTCGCTTGTATTCTCTAGCACGGTCAGGAAGTGACACCAAAGGTTTAAAAGGTTTTTTTTTCGAAGATGCTACATGAAAGTGTCTCTCACAGCAAAATAGGCATGGATGGCACGTCTCCTCTCCTGCAATTACTCTGTAATGACCTTTCTGCCTCATTCGTCTCTTATAGCTGTGCATGCATCAACTTACACAGAGAAAAAGGTCTTCACTGCTGCTGCTCCTTCTGCTGCAATCTCTGAGTACCAAAACCTAAAGCATACTGAATACTCATCTATTAATTGTACAACATAATAAAGGTTTGGATTTCATTGATGATCACTAAGCTTTAACTTCTGATTATAGTTTGATGATTAGTCAACAAATTAAAGATCAGTGGGTTAAAATCTGATCAATCTAACACCAACACAGTACTGGGTTAACTTTACAGACACAGCAGCCTCTAGTTTCACCTTAAAACTGTCAAAAAAAAAATGTATTTATACAAAATTTCATTTCATAAAATGGCAGATATTTTTGAAATTGGTGCTACATGACCAGAGAAAACTGACAAAAAGCACTGAAGTTTGTTCAAAAGGTGGAAAACCATATGGTTTCGCATGTGATATGAGAATGTCCAGAAGGTTTTAGATTGTGGAACTGTGTTGGATCGCTCTGTACAATGTCCTTTGGTTTATTGCTAAATTATGACTCAACAATAACTGCAGCCAAAAACATTATTGCACCACGTTGGCCAGCCTCACAGTCTTTGCACAGACAACAGTAGTTACTTACTTTCCAGGATATTCTCTAGATGGAACAATCTGTTGAAAGGTCCAATGATGCAAAACGAAAAAAAATTTAAATGTTTTAAAAGTGCTAAGGCATTACTGTAGGAAGAATTACACCTGGCATCAGGTATCATTATCATCTGATCTTTGTGAATTTAAACTAATGTGGAGAGTTCTTGAATCAAAATGAACTCAAAATGTGTTTTTACGTGGGACACAGGCTGTCGGAAGGCAATAATAAACACTCCATTGCCATATTTTTACTATTCTTATCTATTTCAGGAGCCTTAATGTACAGCAAATAAGATAAAACAACCTTTCACACAAATGTGGACGATGTATTCAAGCTCCCCCTAAATGTTTCAAAGTAGGCTTTCAGGGGCGCTTATGTCCCTTTCAGGGGAGTCAGCTCGACATTTGGTTCAGACATTCACGTTCCTCAGAGGAGCAATCCTAATGACTTTAGTGATCCTCTGACTTTTCATCTAGCACCATTTTCAGGGAAAATTTTACATTTGTTCAATACTTTGATGTATGACTAAATATCTACTAATATCATACATCAGCCTCAGTTGTACTTTGGTTTGTGCTTTGGTTATGAAGTTACAGAAACTCTGGGATGCAGCCAGATCCCGGATTCAGAATAGAAGGTTTCCCGGGCTGTTCGACCATCTGACATGCAGATCTGACGGACTGTCCCCTGTAGTCGTGTTCACATGCCGTGTCTGGTTGTAACTAATACTCTGCTTTTGCTTTCCCGCAGCATATCCAACTTCACCCCTAAAGTGGGAGAGAAGGACACCCAGAGAGCGATCCGACAAGCCTTCAACGTGTGGCAGACGGTCACTCCGCTCTCCTTCCAGGTCAGAGAAAATTACACATGGCAGTTCTGCTTTTATGGCTCTCATTGTTTTTATCATGTTTGTATTGATTTTATTTATGCTTATGTGATTTTGAAGGTATCCAGTGCATCACGATCAAATAATGAACATAATAAATCTACTCTGAAAACTTTCACATTATCACATTATTACGACAAAGTATCTCATTAAGAGAAATCTTATAATCATGACAGTTAAAATAAATGAGATAACTGCTTTGTAATCAATTGAAAAAAGCTGTGCTGTTGCAACCAAAGTGATATTAAAGTCTTTATTGGGGACAGGACAGTCTGTTCTGTCTGCGTTTGTTCCTTCAGCTTCCTTTTCAGTATGAATAAAGTCTTGCATTATAAAACATCCTGCTGTAATTCACAGTATTTTTGTGAGATGCTGATAGAGAGATTTTTTTCTCTTTCAAGCTATGCCAGCTCTTTGTTTCCTTTCTCAGTTCCTCCTTTCTCCACTCTCCTCCTCTCTGATCCCGTTCAGGAGGTGCCATACTCGGAGATCAAGAACGAGGGTAAAGAGGCCGACATCATGATCTTCTTCGCCTCTGGTTTCCATGGTGACAGTTCCCCATTTGACGGAGAGGGGGGTTTCCTGGCCCACGCCTACTTCCCCGGCGCCGGTATCGGTGGAGACACGCACTTTGACTCTGACGAACCGTGGACGCTGGGCAATGCCAACCACGACGGTGAGACGTTTAAAGAGTTTCTGCATTTGGGTCTTTGTGCTGCACTTTGGTCAAACTGTAGCTCCATTTGGACTGAACTTATTTGTCTAGGGGACGTGCAGTGATTTAAATTTTCTGAGTCACGTAAAGCTGGTGTATTGTTACTTATCTGCTAGTAGAAAAGCAAAACCTAATAGATGGCTCAGCAATCTTCGGAACCCATCAGCTATTGTCTAACAGCGATTTAGCCTCTAGGTGAAACAAACAGATTATCTTACAAACAGATATCTGCATCTGCTCAAAGTGCTTTTACACTACAGTCACCCATTCATACAGTGAGAGCAAAGGCAATCAAAAACAGAAACTAACTCATTCACACACATTTATACACTGATGCACAGCATCGAGAGCAATTTGGGGTTCAGTATCTTGCTCAAGGACACTTCGACATACATTGCAAAGAACCGGGGATCGAACAGCTAACTTTCTGATTGGTGTAGGACCTGCTCTACATGCTGACCTCCGCCCGAATGCCAATACAATTTGTAAAAATCAAATAAGAAGCTAAATCGACGTCAGCCAATAGTTTATGTATTCTGAGATTACATTTTGGGCAATGCTTTCTGCCTCTGTTGCTCTCCACAAGTGCATTTACTAATTAGATGAAATACTATCTACAGCTGAGGATGATGGGAATGTCATTAGTGTTGGACAAATAATATTTTTGACCTGATGATGGCACTAGATAAAAAGTCAGAGGATCACCAAAGTTATTACAATTCATCCTGAGGGGAACATGAATGTTTGTACCAAAGGTCATGGCGATCCATTCGTTCATTTTTGAGACCTTGTCATCCAAGAGCTAGCATGGCTAAAAACATATGAATATATATATAAACATAGTAAATGACATTAGAAACAAAAATAATACTCTGCAGACTGATGAAGGTTTTTCTTTATATTTTCCAGAACTGTGGAGGCTTCAGGGCTTTAAATCTGCTCTCTTCTGCTGAAATGTATGCTTCATTGTTGGTGCATTCATAGCCGGAAGGAAATCTGTAGACATGTGGGTGCTAATAGGCACTTTATACACATTGTCTATTTAAAAAAACAACAACATCAGAGCAAGAGCCTTTAACAGTATTGTTTAAAATAACCCCCAACTTAATTTAATTATTTTGACTCTGACCGTGGTAACTGAATTGCTTTTTAGATGGAAATTTCTTTTTCCATTATCCTGCCTGAGTCAAGTTAATGTTGAAATATTGCAGACAGTGTAAATATAGGCTAGTGAATGACAGTTGTGAAATATCAACTGATTAAATAATTTATTTCTCCTATTAATAATGTATGTCATTGAAAATGAAATGCTTCAAATGTGAAGATGTCCTCAGTTGTCACTCCCGTATCTTTGAGCGCCACACTGTTTAGTCATTGGATGAAAAATTGAGGAAAAAAAACACTTCACTTTGTAGTTTCTTTCCCCCCTCCTCTTCTTCTATCTCAGTTTGACAAATGACTTATGCCAGATTCCCTCTGCTTGAATAACTAACGTGTTGATAGAGGGAGAGAGAGGGAGTGATAGAAGGGGAGAGGGATCTGGCTTGAGAGATTAGCAGAAAAGAGAATTAGCTTTGACAGAGAAGCTCTAAATTTGCCATACCACATTACTGCAAGTGTGTGAGTCTAATTCCAGCACGGACTGACCCAGGAAATATTTAGACTTTCTCAGGACTCTTCTATAAGGGCACTTTTTATTTTAATGTAGGATAGAGTTTTGTGCACAGTCACATATACGTACATGCATTCTTTAACTTTTTCACCTGATTACATTTGTCAGTATACATTATAACTATAACATATAGTTACCATTATCAGCCATAACATTATAAGCACTGGGCTCCCTGACTCCATTACAATGTGGCCCTTGTCAAAGTCTCTCAGATGCCTATTTTTCCTGCTTCTAACACATCAACTCTGAGGACAAATAATTCACTTGCTGCCTGATATATCCCCCCCACTGACAGGAGCCAATATAAGGAAATAATCAGTATTATTCACCTCACCTACGGCTGTGGACGGCCGTGTCTCTGGAGGTACAGCAGGTCGTCTACTAATATAAGTATCCTTGAGCAAGATACTGAACCCCAAATGGCTCCAGATGCTGTGCGTTGATTTGTGAATGTGAATTAATGGATAGTTTCTGTTTCTGATGAGTGTTTGCCACCACTGAATGAAAGGGTGAATGTAACATGTAGTGTAAAAGTGCTTTGAGTGGTCGGAAGACTAGAAAGGAGGTATACAAGTACAGTCCATAATGGTCATAATGTTATGTATGTGTGTGTGTGGTCACCCAGGGGCTCTTGTGCACACCATCACAAACATGTCTTTATCTCTGAAATCCCTACACACACACTCACACACACACACAGAGTAATTGAAAGATTAGAAACTAGATAGCGAGACGGTGAAGTTCTCGGACGCCGCAAAAACGAATTCACGGTATCAGCTTCAGAAGGACATCGCAGAAGGACAAACGGGCCTCATTTTCACCTCGGCTTAAAATCGTCTTTTTTTCTTCTGCCGCCACTGAGGGACGGTGTCTGTGATTAACCTGTTAACACCTGGAGGAGAGAACTGGAAACGTCCCTATCAGAAGAAGACACAAAGTGCTGAATGCAAACAATTTGTGTTCTGTCTGGTTTTCAATACTCCTCTCCAGCTCTGTATCCCCAGGAGTTCCTTTCATTCTGGACAAATCTGCAGCACAGATTTACTGTGTGTCCACTTCCAACGCTCAGTGCTAATCCAGGAAGTAATGTGTTTGTTCAGTAGTGAAGTGGAAAGTAAGTGAGTGGAGGTCTGGGTAGTGGATGAGTGCAGCCAACTTAAAGTCAAAGACTGGACTTTACATCACGTCATGATCTTGATTTTATTTATTTATTTTACCCAAAAATAATGGAACCAGATCGGTTTGAGGAGCTCAAAGCGCCGAAAAATCGGACTTACCTTGTGGGGCATAACTGGCAAGAACTAGCTCTTAATGTTGGTGGGCCGTTTAATTTAAAAAAGTTCACTTGTTTACTGCTGCCAAACTAGTTTAAAATGGCAAAGGTTTGGTCATCAGTTGAGTTCAGTGAAATATACAAGTGTGTGTCATCAGCATAGCTAAATAAATTGAGTTTAACCGCATTAATGTATTTTACATTAGCATAATCTTTCCTAAATCTTAACCACAACTCTCCAACCAACAAGCTCATTTTCCCCTTCTTAATCTCCATTTTAAGTAGAGATTATTCTTGTCATATTTATGTATACAACTTGACTCGGTTTGCCCTTTCTAGAAAGCCCAAAGATGCAGAAACTATAAGAAGAAAATCGTAATCCTGCAGAAGGGCAGAGAGAGACAAACACACAGAGAGTGTAGAGAATGAAATATCACCCACCTCAAACTAACAATAAGTGCTTGAACTCAGGGTCTGAATTACCATTACAACATTTCAGTTTCCTCTCTTTTAAACAAGTGTGCGCCTCTGCCTCAGACTTTGACCCTTTACAAACTTTAACTAAATGCAGTCCTGGTTCTGTGGTGTCTGAAGGGAAAGCTACATTCATCCGTCGTATAAATGATGGTGTTGAATTAATGTGCTCTTGTCTGTTAATTGCAAGAATATTTCACACAGGACATGTTTCCAGATAGGAACAGGTTTATAAATTTGATGTGTTGATGTTTTTTGTACTTAAACAGTACTTGGCAGGTGAGCCAAAAAGCTAATTTGAGGAGCCGCTTGCACAAAATGATCTCTGGCATGCAAACTCGTCTCTGCCAAAAACGAACATCTCAGCGGGAGAACTGCTCGAGTTGAACAAAGCAGACGCTGTGGACACGTCGAACTGGGATTACTTGAGAGACAGGTTTCATCACGGCAATATCAAACATCATCTTTATCGCAGGCGAGCAGACGACTGCAGGGGCAAACATGATAGAGAGAGCCGTTATCGTCGCTGCAGGGCGCCGAAACAGACTATAGACCGACCACAAGGGGAGAGGCAGACACACAGACACAAACCCACCGGGAATTCCCTCAAGCCGTTGTACATGAAGTGTACGTCTTGTGCTGTAAAATCATCTTTATCTTTCCTGCGACACGGAAGACAGAGAAGCACAGGGAGCGGAGAGATAAAGGCTGGTGGAGGAGGAGGAGGAGGAGGAGGGGGGCTTAAAAGAAGGCAGAGGAGAGGGATGAAAGAAAGAGCAGTGTGTGTGTGTGTGTGTGTGTTGTGTGTGTGTGTGTGTGTGTGTGTGTGTGTGAAGGTGGGATAGAGAGATGAGGGAAATCAGAGAAAACACAAGGAAGTACAAAGTAAAATAAACAGCAATGATTATATGAATATTCAACCAGTGTCGTTTTCTTTGGCAGCCTAACAACCTAATTTGAATGCTCAAGATGGTTTGTTACACAGAACCATCTGGGAAGTCGTCATTGGACAGTTTAGGAAAAGTGCAGCCACTTTCAAAAACTACTCAGCCGGCGATTAGATGAACCATCTGTCTATCACGAGAGTAATACATATGCTATGCTAGCAGCATCTACGCTAACCTCTTTAGGTACACATATTTTAATAACCAGTGTGAACACATTATGTTTCTGTATTCTGTAGTCAGCTCTATTTTAAACATCCAAATAGCGTGAATGAGTTTTTCCAGGTCGGCATTTGACATGGCGTCCCTGAGTGTTGGTGCTTTTTTATTTCGTATTATATAATACAACATATTATTACATTTTCATCCTACTGTCCAACTGTAGCATTTTTTAAAAAAGTAACCTAAACCCCAAAACCTGAAAACCTCTGTATGCAGATATTCACTCGTGTTGTTGATTGCTTCAGGTCCAAATCTGGACACAAACCACTGTGGTTTCAAGCTCATAAATTGAAGCCTGGCCAGATGGATTCTCTTGTGATCTTTCGTGAGTCCAGCTGCCTCACAAGGTTACCAGCAGCCTTTTAGCCACACTTGGAACATAAAGTTGGAAAAAGAAATGCATTCAATGAATACTGCCTGTAAATGAAAGGCTCTTTCTCTCTCTCTCTCTCTCTCTCTCTCTCTCTCTCTCTCTCTCCCCCACCCGCCTAGAGCCGGGGTCTGTCCGAGGTTTCTGCCTCTTAAAAGGATGTTTTTCCTTGCCCCTGTCGCCAAGGTCCTGCTCATGGTGGGAACTGTTGGGTCACTGTTAATAATGTTATAAGGAGTTTGGTCTAGACGTGCTCTGTTTGAAAAGTGTCCTGAGATAACTTCTGTTATGAATTGAATTGAATTAAATTACGTGGAGGCCGTTCTGTCTTGATGAGTTCAACTGTCAGTGACTCATGAATCCAACGTTTCTACAGAGCAGTGTCACAAACCGGGCCATACAGCCATGACAAAAGGAGCCAATTAACTACTTATTACAGAAAATACTTAACTAACAGTAGGATGTGAAATCAGTGGGGTCAGTGGTGTAAGTGAGTGCATGAGTAGAGAAGTGTATGAGTACTGTGTTGTATTAAGATGCAGCAACACAATCAAACCGTCAAACCCAAAAACCAGATAGTTGTCTCAGAGAGGAGAGAGAGAGAGCACTGAGCTCCCAGAGGGTTTTTAAAGGAGCATGGCACACAGGCTTCAGGTGTGACCAATACACTGAGGACCCTCTGCCACGCCTACTTAAAGTACCTGCACAGAAAACAGCCACACAAACAGGAACAGGAAGACAGGGTGGAGTGGGTCGTCACAGCAGAGAGAGAAAGAATAAACAGGGAAAACACAGAAAGAAATGACTGAACATCTGTTTACACTAGAAAGAAGAAAATGAACGAAAGAGCTGAAAGAAACTTCAGCTTGTGCTCTGTTGCTCTGTTACATTAGTCTATAAGTCAGCTGCTGGCCACCGCGGCTATAATCTTCAAACAGACCTGCTTGGGTAACGGAAGAAAGATAATTATGTTCTGTAATTAGGTTCAAACAGAGTCAAACCAATTACGGAGCCGATGAAATGTATTAATTTGAGCTCTGCGTTCAGACCGTAAGAAGTCATTAAGCGTCTGACAGCAGCTCAGAATCGCAGCTCTTCAGTTGATGACAGAGAGCCTGGTTTCAACAAACCCCACAGGAAAACATGACATTCGGGAAAACACAGCCCTCTATTCTCTTTTCTTCATGTTTTTTTATATTAGCTGCAAAAGGAGTACAAGCAGCAGTAAGAATAGTAAAAGAAGAGCTGTTAGTGTTGCTGCTCAGGTTAAAAAGTCACGATAAATCCTCCATTTATGGATCCACACTGATACTGTCATTTAACTGACACCATACTCGTCCATAGCAGGAAACAATGGCTGCTCGCCTGGTCACACAGGATCTGATATTCCACATAAACAGTAAAATCTGTTGGAAATAGTTAGAGAAATAGTCAACGCAGTAACAGAATCTGGATCCATATCTGATCAGCACTGTTTGACAGTTTGATCTGAGTTTGGTGTGTTGAGCTGGACAGACTCACTGAGAATGAGCTGTCAATCACAGGGTAGCCCCGCCCTAAAGCATACCCTGCTTTATGGTCTGTTTTACTCTAAATGGGACCATCAGTTACTAAATGAACATCATGCTGTATGGAAGAAGACTGAAACTAGAGACTGAGACCAGAAACTCATCAGGAAACTGTTTACTGAGCTCATAAATCAACTGAGAAGTCGACTCATTTCTCCATAAAACTGAATGGTATCAATGTGTTATTGCAACCAGTGGAGCTGCCCCTGCTGGATATTACACAGAGTGCAGGTTTAGGATACTACCGCGTTCACAGACCCAGAGTCTCTGTCCATTATATAGACTGTTAATGGTAATTTCTGCCTCTAGGGTGGTCCCCCTAATAATTATATTTCATGAGAAAATTGTAGTTCCTCATGTTAACATATGTCAAATAAAGTTTGATTGATTGATTTTTTTGGAATCCAATAACTATGAGAAAGTGATTTTTAACCTCATTTAGATACATCTGTAAAAGACGAGAATGAAACGTGTGTACATGGGCTCTTAATTTGAAAGTCAGTGCAGTTTCCTTTGCTTTTTATTTCTGAGCATTCAGACAATGACACATCAGTTTGTGGAGTGTATCCAGTTGGGGATTTTTCATTTTCCAAAAACTTCCACATATTTGCTTGTTCACCGGGGTATTTTAAAATCCCTCCAGCAGCAGCACATTATTTATACATTCACAGATTATAAATTTAAAATCTCATTTTGTGCGAGTGTGAAGTCGTGAATTTGACTTGATGTGGCACTAAACAGTTTGCCAAACTCTGCCGTAATCCCCGTCAAGCAGCGGCGTTTGAAGAACTGGCTCAATCTGGACTTTAAAAATGGGGGCTTCAGATTCACACAAGCTGACAGTCGCCTCCATTTACCACAAATTCTCCTTTTGATGTGAGGTTCATGTTACACTGCTGATGAGTCAACAGCATCACAGGCTGACGCCAGCTCACTTTTCCACTGCGTTTGATGCTGCGTCTTTGGTCTTTTCCGTTGTGTTTTCACTGGGGAGGCTTTGTTCTGTTTGAGACGGAGATGTTGAAGGTTTTTTTGGCGGATTTTTTTTACTGAACAAAAACGAGCGGAAAAGGCCTGTCAGCGGCACAAAGTGGTTCTTGTTTCCTGTTTTATCGCCTTTATTTCTGCTGTGAAATAATCTTTTTAAAAGCTTTTTAAAGGCCGTCACTGATGTCGAAAGTGATGTTTCTCTCCCTGGTTGTTTTTTAATCTCTTATCAAATCTCAACCTTTCCTTTCCGCTCTTCTTTATCTCCCTCTGACTGCTTTTTCTCCACCAATCTCCTCTCTAACTCTTGTTTCTTCTCCAGGTAATGATTTGTTCCTGGTGGCGGTCCACGAGTTGGGTCACGCATTGGGTTTGGAGCACTCAAACGATCCCAGTGCCATCATGGCTCCTTTCTACCAGTACATGGACACGCACAACTTCAAACTGCCTCTGGACGACCTGCAGGGCATACAGAAGATCTACGGTGAGCAGAAGTTAGTGCCCTGCTTGTGCCACCCGAGTCCAAACAGTGTGGACACGCCACTGCTGGCCGAGAGGCAGTGACAGGAGGCGAGAGAACAATGAATACATGGATTGAGCTAGTGCAAATAAACAGCCCAATATATACAGTTTATGCACAACAGAGATCTGAGTGCTGATTCAACAGCAGCTGCAGTGATCAGAAACTAATAATGAGCCAGTAAAGCAGCGTCCGGTTGATCAATCTTTGCCTGGAAAGAGAAACTTTTCAAATGCTTGACTTTGTGTCTTCTTCCTTTGTGTTTACACCGGGGACACTTTGTTCCATTTCAGAGAAGCTGCCTCACATCTCAGTAAACTCTTTTTTTTTTAAACAAAGAACAGCGAAGGCCTGTCAGTCGCAGACACATTTTCTGACATGCTTTCTGTCTCCCCTGAAATAATCATTACAGCTTCTGTTGTAATGCAGAGTAATATTTATTTGTGATAAGACACAAAGAATCTCAAAAAGAAAAGAATCTCAAGCTAACATGTCAAATAATGTGCTGGTGATTTCCATCCAGATCACATTTGAACACTGAATATTTCATTCTCGCTGATAACCTCCGCTATCCGTAACACTGAATCACTGGATGCTTTTGTTCTGTTCTTACACGGTTTCCTTTGAGCTTCAAAGCAGGACGGATATCTTTTCCTTCAGAACAAAAAAAAAAACTATCTTAACATTAAAGGTCATGATACACGGGTGACATTTTGAGTCCGCGTTGAAGGGAAATACAGGCCAAAGCAGTGCGGTCAACAGTATATTTCCACTGCACTTGTGTTCAGTGTGGATAACAAAGCCCTGGTATTGTATCTGCTGAGAGTTGATCCTGTTTGCCTCAATGCTCTGCTTCTCCAGCACCTGACAATACCAACCGTCCACTCTCAGTGGGTTTCATTTCAGAATGAGGCTGTTTATTCTACAAAATGGATCTTCAGCTGAAAAAGAAGCAACATTTATGAGCATAGACGTATTCTTTTTTTTTTTTTTTAATATTAAGTTGTGAATACTCTTGAAGATTAAGTTTCAGCTGGAAACATGAATGAATCACTTTCTTGCGTCAGAGGATCCAACATAAAGACGTCTGCACAGCTAAAACCATGAGTCATTGGGCCTCATGCAGGAAGATTGTTATACTCTGAGTGTGCCATCACATTCAGCAAACGCTCCTAACTTCAGATTTCTGTGTAAACCGGCTGTGGAAAAATTATGAATGCCACCATCAATGCGTGATGGTTCATGAGAATTGAAACTTTACATAACTTTAACTTGAAGGACAATGAGTACAATGGTTCTTGCATGAGGAGTCTCAAAAATACTGTACTGTCTCATAAAGCAATCAAAACCAAATAGAAATCAATCACCACACTGGAATAATTCATGTCATATTGATGTCTTTCTCCAGGTATTCCCACGGCCATGCTTGAACCCACCAGGCCGCTGCCTACCTTACCTTCTCGACGGCCGCACTCCACCTCCGAACGCAAGCACTCCCGCCCGGCACGCCCGCCCGGCGACCGGCCCGCGCTGCCCGGGAACGGAAAACCCAACATCTGCGACGGCAACTTCAACACTGTGGCCTTCTTCAGACGGGAGATGTTCGTCTTCAAGGTGAGTAACAAAACAAACATACATATATTGGCGGTAGTGGGCTTCCATAGTATTGTGATGCAGACACGCTGTTTGAGAACAGGATGCTGTTCTGTGTGTAATTAACGGGTGTGAGCTGTTACAGAGGGGGAGTCATACGGCCCTGAGTTGCTGGGGGATTTAGATAAAGCTTAACTGAACTTTAAGCAGGGAGGAGGCAGGACCTGAACGCGGTACGGTCGCTCCAGCACTGGCAGCGCTACGGGTTCGATTCCCACTGGGGCTGGCTGTGCTAAAAATGTGCGCTCTCACAGGGCTGCAGATGAAAGAATGAGCCCAGTGGCATATGGCAGCACCAGGCCTGTTATTACCGACAGTACACACAGCAGAGCTTCACATAATAACTGTTCAAATGGACTCAGACGAAGAGACGAGGGACAATGTTTGAAATATTATACATGTATGCATGTGAGAGAGCGAGAGAGAGAGAGAGAGAGAGAGAGAGAGAGAGAGAGAGGGCAAGAAGAGGAAGAAAAATCCATTTTGATGTCTCTGATCTTTAAACTGAATGTTAGAAAAGGTCACAGACCCGTCTAGCTCTCCGTCTGTCCGCCTTCCTGCCTGTCGGTGTGTGTCTTTCTCTTTTCCATCTGCTCACCCGTCCACACCTGTCTGTCTCCTCTCTGTCTGCCAAACTATCTCATTTCCCTCTCTGCCTACCTGTCTCCTTGTCTGTCTGTCTCACTCTGGTTAACTCTGTCTTACTTTGTCCATCTGTCTGTATGTATCTCTGTGTTTCTTACTCGATCCGTCTATATAAACTATAAAAAAATGTCTAAAAACTGGATGACCAAAAGAAAAACATGGTGATTTTGTTTCCGACCCTTGTCACGTTGAAGGTGTCTGTCCAAATTAAAGCAGCTGCTGCACAGAAAGGAGTCTTCAGTCTTGATCCTAGTTGTAGTCTCATAAGTTGATGCACCTGTCTGCTCCCAGACCAGCACCATCAGTGTGAGAACGATACTCTCAGTTAGCAAATCAAACACGCTGTACCCTGTGGTACACGTCTGCTATTAGTTGAATATCTTAAATAAAGCAGAATAAAATGCACAGCACAAGCAGCCCATTGTGAGCTTGAATGTCTGCATTTAGTGGAACATTAACTAAGTGGATCATTAAATCTGAATGTAGTCTGCGAGAAACGAGCACCTGCTCCAGCTGCACTGGGACTAAATGAGATATAGGTGCAGATATTTTAGGCTCAGGTGTACGTATACATATATATACACAAACACTGCATATACATTTTATGTGGCTCAGCTCTTTCAAACTGGGTCATCACCCTCTGAGCAGCATGCAGGTGTGTGTTTGGGTGTTGAGGGTTGAATAGTAAGAAGTTGTGACGGTATATTTCTGTGTGATCATCATGATCTGCTGTGTCTTATTAAAACTAGCTGCGTCCTTCACTAGTAGTGTTTAAACAGCAGCTAGTGCAGTTAGCATATGCAGGAAGTGAGCCCCAGTGTTACAGGAGAAAAGGTCCGTGTTGCAACAGTCCTCTGATACTTTGGTCCCAGGGACAAGGTGCAGCTCCTGAACACAGTTTGAAGTGAATTTATCTTTTTCTGCGACTAGAAAAACTCGACTGAAACTCTTCACGTGGACTAACTAAGTTAAGGGGATTTTTTCACATGATGCTGTTCTCTGTTGGAACTCGGCTGCAGAGAGACAGATACAGATACAACCACGGCTTCATCGGAGCTATTGGTTTAATTCTCCAAACAATCCTTCGGGGGGGGGCGGCGGTGTGGCGGTGCTGGAAGCATGCAGTGATATGTCGGGCTGCTGCAGCGGCATCGTGCACTGAAGCAGTTTTATCTCTCTGAAAGAAACACAACAGCCTTTCTATAACGCATCATCATCATCATCGATCAGAGAAACAAGGCCGATTCTCTCCTCTCCTTTAACTCTAGGACGGGGGCATATTAAGACATAAAGAGCGCTGAGAGCCAGTGGGCGTTTGAAAGGAGACACTCATTATGGGATGTTTCCTTGGTGAGAAACACTCGCTGGATGTGAAGCATTGATTTTCTTTTTTTCTGTTTGGGTTCACACAGAAAAGCATTAGCGGCCAATGGATGATGTCAGATCATATGAGATGGAGAGTGTGTGTGTGTGTGTGTGTGTGTGTGTGTGTGTGTGTTGGTGTGTGTTGGTGTGTTGGTGTGTGTGTGTGGGGGGGGGGGCACTCAGTGGGGACTGTGCTTGGCTGTGTCCTAGATTCACCAAAGCCAAATGATAATGAGCTAAGATTGATGCTCGCCTTCTTCTCCTCCTCTTCTTCCTCCCTCTTTCTTGTCTTTTTACATCTCTCCCCCCGCCCTCCACTTCCTCTGCTTCCTCGACTTACCTCACATCACCTCGCTTTGTCTTATCTTTGTCTTCTGTCCTTTTCTCTCGGCTCGTCTTCGCTGCTCTGCTTTAGTTCTTCCGTCTGGTTTTTCCTCCTCCTTCATCTTCCTTATCCCAACCCTCTTCTTTTCCCCACGTTTCTCCGTCAGCTCCATGATACCTTCCGGGTATTCATTTTACTGACGTCTGTGAGAGTTAGCGGTACGCTACAGGTGTCTTCTTCTTTTCTTAGAGATCTGTAGGGAGTAAATTACATACCAAACACCTTATGGAGTGAACAACTCAACAGTCAGATGGTTCCCGTAGAAAAGTGGCTGCATGTTACCAGAGGTGGGGCGGTTAACCAGACGTGCATTAGTCAAACCCAGTTAGTCCTCTTTTCTCTTGTAAAACAGAAAATTGCTGTTTTAAACACTTCCAGTAAAGCATAAATCTCACGTTTGCCTCGTTGTGTTGCGGCAAACCATCATGGGAGGGCGGGGACATCGTCCGGTTGGTGAGGTTTTGTACTCAGCAGCCACAAGGGGCAACACTGAGCCCATTCCACACTTTGACAAGCAACACAAAGGTGTGATTTGTGGCCATATTTACACCAAATCAGGCATTCTGGAGATTAGCGCAGGCGTTGTAGAGCAAGCGTGGGTGTGACACCATCAGAAAATAACATTTATTTCTCTGATTCACCGGCTTTCTTACTACCACTGCTCACTCTCCCGCTTCATTCTCCAGCTCACTCAACCACCGCAGTGCAACATTGGGTTGCGTTTCTCCAGAAGTTTCAACTTTCTGCTGCAGCTCCCATATGAATGGGAGGACTGATGTGTTCAGCTCAACTCCTGAGTTGGTCTCAATACTGGTTGGTTTGTCAAATGTGCATCTGGTTAACCGCCTCATGATGATGTTGATTAAAAGCTCTAATATGTAACATTTCTGCTTTAAACAGCGTATAAACTCTAGACTTATGTTCTTTATGTAGTTGTTGGTTGTCTGCCAGAAGCTGTAATACATTGACTGTTGATCCAGTCTGAAGCCACATTGTTACCATCCACTGTTTAGATCTTGGTGCTTATTAACTCTAGATTTGAACCGGATGAAGGATTTTAGTCATCGGATCTTAAGTTATCAGAGAAACAAGCTGAGCTAATGTTAGCAGCAGCTCGGCTCGCAGCCCCTCCGGGACGTCCTTTGTCTGTCCAACAGCGTGGGAGAAGCAGTGATTGTTAAGGTGGAACTGCTTTATTCAGTGTGTGTAGTGGTTTTAATCAGCGGGTCAGTTTGTTTTGGAGAGGAGGAGACCTCTTTGGATAACTGGGCTCCCGGTAAAAACCTCCTGAACCGGGAGAAGCTCGTATTTTGTTACTGCCCTCCCTAGCGGCAGAAATGACAGATTGTACGTTGAACCATCTGTGCACACACAAAGCTGCCGCTCAGTAAAACCTGGTTGTGTTGCAGGACCGGTGGTTTTGGCGTCTGAGGAACAACAAGGTGCAGGAGGGTTATCCCATGCAGATCGATCAATTCTGGAAGGGCCTGCCACCTCGCATCGACGCCGCCTACGAGAGATCTGACGGCAAATTTGTCTTCTTCAAAGGTACGAGCAAAAATACTATAGATGTGTACCTAACAAACATCAGTGTGTCACAGCTCTGCCTGCAAGTAGGCCTTCAGTCTCACGGGTCCAGACATATATACAGAGGTACAGGGAAAACACTGGCAGCAGTTCGTACTTTTATTTATTTATCATTTTCAGAAAACTTGACTACAGTCCCAGTGTGCAGCTAGCAGCATGCTAACAGATGGAGCAAGGTGTTAATAGTGTGTAACTGGAATCACACTTTTGGCCTGAGTACATGTTGCTTGAGAACACATTGTTACACAGATATCTCACCTCATCTCTTCACCAGATGTTTCATTGGACTCTGTTTGTGGAAACTGCTGTTCAGTTTCTGTTCCAGAGCTTGCTGGAGGTTAATTAGTCATAAATTATTGAATACACCCTTTAAAAAAACGGTCACTGCGTGTTTGATCTTTAAGATTTGATCGCGCGTCAGTTTCATTTCCAAATATGAGCACGTCGCTTTGGCCGAGTTGGAGTGTTATTTGATGCAGAGCTGCTCCGAAATCAGCCGACTTTGCTCCCAATCTTCAGTGAAGGAAACTTCAAATCTCCGTCTACCATCTGCTCCGGTGTTATTGGACTCTGTCCCGCTCTCTACATGCCCTCCTCCTCCTGGAAATATATTTAATAAAGTGTGAAATAGAGAATGGCAAGGCAGCGGGGAGCACCCGGCCTAAAGTAATAGAATTTCAGTCTATGTATGAAACCTCCCTCATCCCCTGTCTGCTGACTGTGGACTCACTCATCTCAATCACACACACACACACACACACACACACACACACACACACACACACACACACATCTTCTGAGGAGCGTCCTGCTATCGCAGCCAGCCAGGAACAGATATTAATAGCTTTGCTCTCTCAGCTGCAGGCTCTCTCTCTCTCTCTCTCTCACACACACACACATGTCGACGCACAATGACACAGCTCAACCAGACTATGACACACACACACACACACACACACACACACACACACACACACACACACACACAGTGACATACACAGCAATGCTTCTTGCACACATCTGGGCTACATGGAGACACGTGTGTGTGTGTGTTTTGTGTGTGTGTGTGTGTGTGTGTGTGTGTGATGGGGTGACTTAAGGTTAAAGAAAACTACACTTTCTTTTTAAAAATCTTCTATTTTTACAGTGTGGGTGATGTAGAAAGTGGCCTGCACAGAAAAGTGCACTAGCCAATAATCCAGAGGCTGTAAGGTCACTTTTACCTCTTATAGGAAGTAAAAACACTCAAATCAGTGTTTGTTCTACTGATCCTACAGTGTGATGTTTGAACAAAACATTAAACGTTTCAATCAATATGAATGGCAAACATAAGACATATAAAACCAACAAAACATTAACATGTATGAGTAAAACTTACACTATTTGTCTGTGTGTATGCGTGAGTATATGTGTATGTGTAAAGATTTTCACTTCCTATGAATATGGTGTCGACAAGGTGTTTCCTTATTTCCTTTTAAAAGATTGATTTCTTTGTTCATTTAATTATCAACAGCGCTAAAGAATTCCATGTTTTCATCACTCGGTATGATAATGTGTGTCGCCTCAGGGAGTGAAAGCTGATCTTCTGCTGCCTGTCCGGTGGCATATGTATGTGACTCTAAATGGTATTTTAATTGACTGTACTGATATGATGGTGTTTTAGATTGTAAAACATTGTTTGCTACTTCACATTGCAGAGGGAAGTTTGTTGCTTTTTTCTCCGACAGCTGGAGTTACTTTTCAGATTTAAATGTAGAAAAATCTACTACAGATCTACTGTTAACGATTAAACCAGCGGTTCCCAACCTTTTTGGATGACTATCTCTTATAAAAAACATCTCAGGGTGTAATTTATGTTGCATGTCAGATGTCTTAGTTGGTAGCAGCTCAACCAAACAGACATTTACTAAAACTAGCCAACTGTTATAAAGTAGTTCAAACTAGCTCCACCTATAATAATATCACATCATATATGAGGTACATTTTTCTGCACAACACTGTAACTCATCATATTTTAAGTACATTTAACTAATAATAATGGCTAATAAAGGGTTACAGTTTGACTGCAGGACTTTCACCTGTAATGTAATTACTGTTTCCTGAGCTGTGTTGGTTGCAGTAAACAAGGTGAGACATGCAAGAAAATCCAAGAATGAAAGTGAAGGAAAAAATAGGGAGAAGACAGAAACGAGCTGCTGATTATGAAGCTCATTTCCCAAACGGTCAAACTATAGATTGATGACAACATTAATAACTAAAATGGTTAAAATAAAAATGATTTCTGTCCTCGTCTGCAGCATACAAACAGTTTCACTGTTATCACTGAGTCCAGCTGCCTTAAACAAATGTGGGAAAGCTATTAGTGTCAAGAAATGATCAAATTAAGATTCAGTGTATTAACCTTTGTTTGTATTCATTGTTCCCACGTTTTTTTTATTTCAGATGATGAGTCCAGGCCGATTTAACAAATCCCTGTAAAAGAGATTTTATGGAGCAGTTCTCTGAGTTAAGCACCGGTGTTTAATCTCTCTGTATTTTCCCACAGCTGTGTCAGAATAATAACAGGGTCTTTAACAGAGCTACAGAGGAGCTGTTTATTGGGACTCCATAACTTTCCGTCTCATTTCTTAAAGAATTCTTTTTCAACAAAATGACAGAATAAGATTTTTTCATAAAGGTTATTTTTTGGACACTTTTAATTCTGCTAATGAGAAGAGCTAATGTTTTAACCTGTCTTATTGTGTCTGCTGGCAGGATATCGCCCGGACAGATCAGCAGATAAATTGGCCTTGAACCAAAGAACAATCAGTTAGATTTTGGTGATGATCTGGGGTTTCAACTATTAAATAATCATTTATAAAAGACACTTCTTTCAGTGAAAATGAAATTTGTAATGCAAAAATAATCATTTCAACAATAATCGTGAATTATACCGTGATATCTGTCAAAATAATCACAATATGATGTTTTTACTGTATCATGCACCCCTCATTAAAGTGCTGACTCATCTTTTCCCAGGCGATAAGTACTGGGTGTTCAAGGAGGTGACGGCTGAGCCGGGTTACCCTCACAGCCTGGTGGAGCTGGGCAGCTGCCTCCCCAAAGACGGCATCGACACGGCGCTGCGCTGGGAGCCGTTTGGAAAAACTTATTTCTTCAAAGGGGACCAGTACTGGCGCTACAACGAAGAGAAACGCACGGCCGACCCGGGATACCCCAAACCCATCACCGTGTGGAAGGGAATACCGGACGGACCGCAGGGGGCCTTCATCAGCAGGGAAGGATGTGAGTGTCCGACAGTTGATTCAGAGGAGCAAATCTTTTACTGCTGTTTCTGCATCGCGCCATATTTTATTGAACAGGAAAAGCGGCCATTTTGAAGACATATACATTTGCATCATCAGTAAAACAAAACACATTATAAAAACTTAATATAAATGAAACTAAATAAAGGCATTGAGGTTCTTTCTATCAGTAAAACAAACAATGTGTGCTCACTTTATGAGACAAAACGTGCATTTAGGAAAAGTTAAGGCTCTCATTTTTTACCTCATCAGTAAAACAATGTGCACATTTTAAATACTTTATAAATGAGACAAAGAAAATGCATTTAGGTTTACAGGCTTTGGTTTTTTCCTCACAGTAGCTGTAGTTTGGAGACCTCACCTCCTTCTTACAGAATGTACGCTCCCTTTATAAACCGGACAATTTAAGTGCATTTAGCAGGAGTTAAGGATCTCAATTTTACCTAATCAGCAACACATTGTGCACATTTGAGATACTTTATAAATGAGACAAAATGAGTGAATTTAGCAGGAGGAAGAAATTCAGCAATTTTTTTCCGAGCCAAATAAAATCGGGGGAGATTTATACTTTACTTTGGAAGAAATTTGTAACAAATGTTGTGTATACAAATCTGTATTTCATTGAATAGATTGTTTTAGAATAAATTAAAATTTTCTGTAAATTGAGCTCTGAAAATCAAGAGACTCTTTTCATCCTAAAGGGATAAATAACATCTCCACTCTCTTACTGCAACACGACTAAGAGAACAGGTCAGTCAGTCAGTCAGTCAGTCAGTCAGTGAGTCAGTCAGTCAGTCAGTCTGTCTCTGGCTAATTCAGTTTATTCACATTGAATCATTTCTTCCTCAACACAATATTTACGCTCCAGAAGCAGAAAATGCCACAAGCCGACTCACTCACTCACTCACTCACTCACTCACACTGTCTGCCAGAAGAAAATCATCACTTCTGCTTGTCGAGTTGTAACCTCATGACCTTGTGGATGCCTCAGAGGGTGTGTGTGTTTGTGTGTGTGTGTGTGTGTGAGTGTGTGTGAGAGAGAAAGAGAGAGAGATCAGAGGCGGTGACATGGTCGGTCGGGCATGGTGTCTTGGTGTTAGATGAGAAGCTGTCCTGCAGGGACTCTGGATGCAACAGACAGTGTGTGTATGTGTGTGTGTGTGTGTGTGTGTGTGTGTGTGTGTGTGTGTGTGTGTGTGTGTGTGTGTGTGTGTGTGTGTGTGTGTGTATGTATGTGTGTTTCCTTCGGGCTGTTTGGAGGTGATGGAGCAGGCAAAAAGCAGACATCAGAACAAATCTTCTGGGGTTTTTTTCTGTCGGTGAGCGGTACATATGTATATATATACACATATATACATATATATATATATATGTATATATATATACATATATATACATATATATATATATATATATATATGTGCTGGAAGCTGATATTTTGTCCGGATAAGCATCAGGCCAGTGAAAGCATTAGGTAATAGAGTTACAAACCATGATTACAAAATTATAGAGGTGTTATTATGGGCAGATACAACTGTCATTAGGAACATTTGTACAATTGATGTTAAAATAGGGGCATTTCTGAACAGGCTGCATATTTACAGGTAGATTATTCCAGTTGGAGGGAGCATTAAACATGAAGGATTTCAGCAGTGCTTGAAATGGGCCAGTACCTGATGTTACCACATGAGTACCCTTACTGCACCCATCACTGAGTTCCGGACCTCAGTATTTTTTCTGTGAGGTATACAAAGTTAATAATAATTGCTGAAAAATAACAATTCTGATGCTTTGATACCCCCAAACGCTCCCAGCAAGTATAGGTTTTGAACCTCAGTATTTCTAAAAGCCTGCGTATAGCAGTGCTAGTGAGTAGCTGGTCAGCTAGTAAACGAGAGACAAAGTAACTGTGTCTCCATGTTAGCACAGTTAGATTTTGGGTAAGAATACAGCACAGACAATTTCTTTGTTAAAAAGGAAAAAAAAAAAACGTCAAAAGAATTAGGATTAGGGTTATGCAGGGCTGTATCCAGAGGTGGGGCCAGGGGGGGACATTATCCTTACCTCTTCCACTCCGCACTGTCTTTGGAGGTAAAGAAACTAGTATCACATGAAACTAGATGACCTAACGCATCCATTGATACCAGCCATAGCATGCATGTAGGGGAAAGGAATATAAAACGCTCCAAAAGGCTAAATTAGGGTAAATTCTGGCAATGGAAAAACTAGCATGGCTGTCAAAGGGATCCCTTGACCTCTGACCTCAAGATATCTGACTGTTTTTATGCTAATCCAATGCAGGTTTGGGGCAAAAAAGGTGCAGTTCTTTGCATGTAGTATAAATGTGTTATTTGAATATTTCTGCAAACTGGGGTCCATAAACTGTGTTGGAATTGCACAAGTTGGAAATGACTGGCAAGCTGAGACATATACTTCATGCCACCTCTGTGTAAGCCAGTTCCCCCCCCAGTCCAAAAAGTCTGGAAATGCCCCTGAGGTCATGTTGTGTTTAGGGTTCGGGTTGTGCTGAATGAGGTTGCGGGCACCTTTTTTTGGTCCAATTCGGGAACTGGGAGAATGGTACCATGAACTTTATTAAATATAAAAAGTAGTGAGGGTAACTGACGAGCACATATCTCACACATAAATACACAACACTTCATTGATGAATAAATGTGAATGAATTAAAGCAACAAACATGTTAAATGCAAGTTTTTTTTGTGGTCAGGAAGAAACACTGACCTGCTAATATTTAATAAACACCACATACATGAACTCATTTTAGCTTTCTGTCACATCCGCCTGTAGGTGTGAGACGGTGGGTTGTTGCTGAAGGTTTATTCCTTCATGCGTTCTCATATCTCTCTCTCACATACTGTCCCATTTGTCTCACAGTGTCTGTCTCACAGGCATTACATAATATTGCCCTTCAATAAAAACAACCACTGCTGGGACCAAAATACTGGAGCTGCCTATAATCACGGCGTTACAATGGAAATGTTATTGCCTCTAATGAGATGCTGAGCCACAGGGATCTACCAGAGCTCAAAGAGCGAGTTGAGGACACTGACGGATGTTTTTGAGGTTAAGAGAAAGTTTTCTTAACAAGTGAACGACAGCAGCGAGTATCGCATTAGAAAAGGCTGAAGGAAACAGCAAAATTTTGATAAAAACTTATTCAAATTGTGTAAAATGAGATTTGGATGAACTTTGAGAAGATTATTTTTATTAAATTCTCTGTTTTATGTATTTTTAAAATCATTTTTAACAATCCTACAGACTTACTAGGCTTCTTTTTTATATATATGCTTTGTTTTCTTGTCCCTGACACTAATTTACTTCGGATTTACTTTTCTTCACTGAAGTGAACCAAATGCTGAGATAAAGGCCTACTGTGTTTTCTTACACCCCTTAAAATCAAGAAGGCCTCACAACCCGCCATGAAATTTGACGACCCCTAGTGGAGTCTTGTTTCAGCTTGTTCAACCCACTAATTTCCATTTTTGTTTTCCTTCCTTTGCCTCCAATCCCCTGTCACTCTCTCTCCTCCCCCCACCATCCTCCCCTCCTCAGCCCACACATACTTCTACAAGGGGAAGGAGTACTGGAAGTTCGACAACCAGAAGCTGACGGTGGAACCCGGATACCCAAAGTCTATCTTGCGCGACTGGATGGGCTGCGACCAGTCCGACATGGAGCGCTCCGGCAGCAAGGGTAACCGCGGTGACCGCCAGCTGCCCCTCGACGACGTGGACATCATGGTGACCATCAACGACGTCCCGACGACAGTCAACGCCATCGCCGTGGTGATCCCTTGCATTCTGTCGCTGTGCATCCTGGTGCTGGTGTATACCATTTTTCAGTTTAAAAACAAAGGAGTGCAACAGAACACCATGACGCAGCACTACTACAAATACCCCGTTCAGGAATGGGTATGACAGGCAACTTTCCTTTGAAGAGGTCAAAGTTCACGGATTAAAGAGGGTCAAGCTGTCTTCATATTGTTAGCTAGCTTATCTTGGCTAACAGTCAAGAAACGCTAGCAAAAAAACAATGGAAAGTCAGCGCTGAAAGACGCTAATTGTGCTCGCTAGTGATAAAATGGCACACACTGAAAATGCTCTACGGGAGTATATTTAGACATTGGCTCAGAGTGTGTGTGTGTGTGTGTGTGTGTGTGAGCGGGAGGGAGATTCGTGCCTGTCCTGTGACACGAGCACTAAAACAGCAAGGATACTGATTTTGTCTTTTCCCGTTCCTCATCGGGCAAGGACGCTTAAAACAGTTCACAAAAGAAGGATTTGCTAAGGGAGCGATAAACAGCTGATCTTTCACCTGATTTGCCCACAAGCTAAGTGAAATGGGGTCTTGTGAGCGATACTGGACTTTGACTTTCTTCTGGGACCTACGACACAACTCTCCTTCTCAGTGAAAAGAAAAAGAAAAAGAGGATTTGGGGCCAAAAGAATATGCTCCTTAAAGCCAGACACCACCTCCAAGTTTGTTCTAACAAAGCTTGTACTTCAACTATTAAGTCAAAAAAAAAGAAAAGAAAAGTTTTCAAAATATCAAACTTGAAGATAACACTTAGGTAGAAAGGCCATAACAAAAAGAAAACCAAGGATCTCTGTGTGGATCGTGGAATTTTGTTTATTTTTTAGTTGTTGTCAAAACTGTCAAAGAGGACCTTTTTCTTTCTTTTTTTCACCATACACAAAAGACATCCTCATCACCATTAACTCAGACCTCTGTCAACTTAAAACTCCCCTCAGTTATTCAAACAAAAACAGAAAAATGCTGTTATCTACACAGCTGGGACTGTTTTGGGGCAGACGTAGAATAGCCAGTCATCAGCATATAAAGATAGAATGGATTAATGACAGTTTACCAGCTTTATTTATCAAACTGAGCCGGTATTTATCAAACTGCTAAAAGTGAGACTTTGGACTTAAGTGAAACATAAAAGTAATCCTTAAATTTTACTCCTACTCACACGTGAAATTAAAATCTGTTTATCCAATTTCTTACAGATTATAATGTACTCAAATTTAAAGGATTTCCTTTATTTACGAGATCTTGGAGTTGATTGTACGAACTATCATGTTTGTACAAACTATAAGTTTACTGAAGCAGCAGCATTCAGAAAAAAGCCTTTTTACTTTGCACTGATTTGAACTTTTGATAGGATGTTACACCACTTTCTTTTTTGACAGTGGGCAAACAACAACAACAAAAAGGATGGTATTTTTTGCAGTTAACTACGAGGATTCGTTTAAAGAATGAACAATAGGACAGATAAATCCTTGTGTCTGATTGGCTCTTCCTGCTCTAAACATGCATGTTCTTAAATGTTTTCTGTAAGTAGGAGTAAGTTATATGTCTGAATGCTCACTCTCAGCAAAGAGCTTTATTAAATCCTAGATTGGATCTAATGTAGGGCTGCGCAATTAGGATAATAACAATAATATGATTGAGGTTTTCCCAAATTAATTGTGAATCATATTGTGATCGCAATTTCTGTCGAAATAATCGCAATATGATGTTTTTACCATATCGTGCAGCCCTAGTCTTACAAGCATTCTTATGTGTAATTATTAGAAGTTTGATAAATATGAGTCCGGAGCTGAGCTAGTTAGTGTAGTTGGTTCCTTGAGTCTGTCATGGCGTTATCCTCATCTTTGTGTTTTTCTCTTTCATGCTCTACTGAGGAGGGAGGCTCCTCAAGATGTGAAAGAACTGGAGAAATGCAAAAAGGGAGGAAATGGAAAGAGAACATAAAGTGTGACATGACAGGGATGCAGAATAAAGCAGGGTTTCAATAGACAGAGTGTGGGGGTGGGGGGGGAGGTTACACAGAGGATATATGTGGGTCTGTATTAGTATGCTGACTGCGGCACGGCGACATCGACCGAGCTTAATGAAGTACGTCTGTTCACAAAGCTCTAATAGGGGCTACTCGCTCTCCACGTCCCTCGCTTTAATCCTACTGTCCTCCCTCTGTCTTTTCTTACTGTCCTCTTGTAATTCTTCACATCGTGTCAATCGCCTCGCTCTCTCCGTTTCCCCCTTTTACCTTCTCCTCTGTCCGTCTGCGCTGCTCTCCCTCACTGCTTACCTCGTCTTCCTTTAGGTTCAGCATCGTTTAACACCCTAGGTTGCCTGTCCAACTTCAGTAGATTCAGTCAGGGCTCTTTGGGTCCACATAGTCGACTTTTAATCCTCAGAAGGACTTGTCGACACATTTTAAGGCAAGGCAAATTTATTTGGCAATTCAAAGTGCTTTACATATGACATTTATTAAGAAAAGAAACAATATACACAATATAATATAAAAAATACATTTAAATAGAGTAAAATAAAATAGCAGAGCTAAACTAGAATCAAAAAGGAGAATGAGAATAACAAGATATGAATGAATAGTCCTAAATTGACATCATATTTACACAGAAAGCTCCCTAATTTAAAAGAACTGAGTTTGATACACATATGTGGTGTTTAGTTTAAACTCTTAGGTCAATAAGAAGACCTGATCCCAGACCATCTTAGAGGATGGTTTTTAATGGAGCTGTAGATCAGAAATTTACTTTGGCCCTATACCATGTAGTGCTTTATTAACCAACAAAAGCATCTTAAAGCAGCTTCTTATTAGACACACACAAAGCCAGAATAAAGATCTGAGAACTGGACTGATGTGGCCTCTCCTGGTCTTAGTGAGGACTCTAGCAGCTAAAGACAGCGTTAATGTAGTCGAGCCAGGTGAAGATAAAAAGAAAAGATTTTCTAAGACAGATATTACTCCTCTAATTATTGATATGTTCTTAAGAAGCTAGTTGGCTGATTTTGTAATTGTCTCAATGAAATTTAGGGCTGAGTAAAGGAAGAATTTTGACTTTAATGTTATCGATGGAAGTTTAGCACTGACAATTATTTCTGTTTTATCTGTTTAACTGAAGGAAATTGTTGCTCATGCAATCATTGATTTGTTCATTGCACCTAATCAGTGCTTGTACAGGACCATAGCCACCTTGTGATATCGCTATATAAATCTGTGTGTCATCTGCATAATTATGGAAAGCGAGCTAAAAATTATATGTTTCATGCATTTCTGTGAGACAAGACACAACATTTGAATTTGTTTACATCAGTTTAAAGATTTAAAGTACAACAGCCTTCAAAAGTGAACTTTTTTCTATAAAGTACATGCGATAAGACCATCTAATTTTGACTTTAATCACCCGGGAGTCAGTTATGGTCCCTTTTCGAATCTCAGAAAGACAAATTAAGATTTGATAGTTTGAAATAAAAGCCTTTCAATCAAATTCCAAAGTACTTATTATTGACATCAACTGATAATTTATTGGCTGTTATTTAACTATCCAGATCATTTATAACTATATAAATTGCCCATTATTGTCCGATCTTGCCTCTCTAATAAAAAGGTAGACTTGAGTCATCTTTATGTAACACTCCAGCAGCACTGCAGTTCCAACAAAGCAAGCTTTATTTAAATACACAAGCTGCTCATTTAAATGTCATTAACTCCGATATGACTCATAATGGTTCACTCAGAGGCCAGTTGGCTCCCCAGAGGGAGTTTGGAGTCCCCCGTCCATGACCCTCCCACCCCAGGCTGGAAATCACTGTTGTAGGGCGAACTGGGATATCCTAACTGTGACTCAGATTTAAATGTTGGGTCGAGAAGAGATAAAACTCAGAGGAGATTTAACTATACAATCCATATATACTGTACATCCACACACAAATGCACATTAATAACGCAGTAGGGGGCAGCGTGTCATTTCCAAGGCTACTTTAGACTCTTGCTCCGTCTCCCTCTCCCCTTGTTCTCATTCGCTCAGCTTTGTACCTTATTCACCGAGCTCGCTGTCCTGCAGTAATTGAATGTGTTCTCGCCACATATCCTTGCAATTACTTTCTGCTGTCGAGAGCAATTCAGCATACACAGCATTCAGCTCAAATCGATGTCGTTCAATATCCTGCAGTGCTTATTTAGAATCAGTGGGAAACGTATATTTGTTCCTCGAGGGTGTACAATAAACACAGGACAAGACATTCTTCTCCTTTTACCTTAAAGTCTGTATACATCATACGGACTGTGTCTGCTGCGAGGGTTGTGCGAGTTTGTGGAAACATGAATGTCTATCCAAAGAAAATTGCCTATTGGACCAAACTTGTCTTTCTCTTCTATTTTCTCAGCTTGACTGTGATGGTCTGGAAAGATCTGCTTGATTCAGAATATGCATTTGATCAGAATTTTAAGTGAATAAAATTGAAAAGTTACATTACAAAAGAGGATATCCGACATTTGGATGGACATTATTGATTAATCGGCTAATTATTTTGCCAGTTGATCATGTTTATATGAATTGTCGATGGTGATTGATGAGCCCAAAGTGAAAACAAACCAAACACTTGCACTAGCTCTGGCCACCATAGTGTCTCTTACATCCTGGAGCTGGTTGCATAGGCTATATGTCACTGAATCCAACACACTGGTCCCTAAAAGCTCTTGTCACATAATGGGAATATGATCGCTGGTGGAAATAAATCCTAACTAAATTTACTGACTAACTGAAGCTGTTATGGAAAACAGTACAATCAAAGTTGCATGATGTCAGTTTTTTAAATATTTATTCTGTCTCAAAGGATGTCCATCATTTTGGAATGAAACCTTTCAATGGTGATCAACTCAACTCAAAGTTGTTCAGTTACAAAACGTTGGAGCAACGGAGAAGATTGTGTAAATTGAAAAGGAAAACGGAAATAATGTTTACTTACAGCAAAACAATAATGGCATTGAGTTCTGTAGCCATTAGTCGCTTAGAAAGGCTCCATTTTTGGACTGTTTATCTTGATACCACTGTGTTTTTAAGTTGTTGATTGTCTTCCTTAATTTTCACTCTACAGGTCAAGTTATACGACTATTTTATCAGTTCATTTATTTCTTTTATTGATGAAAAAACACTTCAGGTTTTCTGCTTTTGTGCATTTCTTATACCAGACAGGCAACGAGGAGGTTGGGGGTAGATATCATGTGATGTTTGTACTTGTTGAGGTGCACTATAAAACCAGATAAGTTAATTTTACTCAAAAGATTGTTGAAATTAGTTGCATAAAAATTTGTATGTAACATAAACTTGATGGATTATTGATTGAGCTGCTTTTACTAGTAATTTTAAGTGGCATTAACTAAGAAAAACAGAAACATTCCTGATTAATAACTTTTTACTAGGTATTTTGTTTTCACAGTACAAATAAAAATGACAAAATTAAGTTATTCTCACTTAAAATTACTAATGCTACTTAATCAAGGATGGGTTTTTTAACTTACAAAATGTAATTAGTTTTACTTAAAAAGTTTGACATAATCCAAACAACAATTATTTGAGTAAAATTAACTTATAAATGGTTTTACAGTGTGGGTATCGGCCGTGTTGGTGTCTCTACTTGACGTTGGTGCGCTTTGTAAATAGTAGCGCTCCGGGCTGGTTGTGCAGCAGGTTTGTAACTCTGTGATTTAACATGAGAGATGACGGGGAAAGGGAGCGCTGTAGCTTTCTCTCGGTGTGTTTTTTCCCCCGAGGGGGGAAACATTTCATCGAGCTAACAAGAGGTTTCCACTTCACTACTCCCACGTGTAATAATAATAATAATAATAATAATATCTCTGAATTCATTTCACTCTCTCTCACCGTCAATGTCGTTCTTGGTGCTCATTCATAATGTAAATGACAGAGTTGCATACAGGATTATTACTGACTTCAGCTATCAGGTACTTATTGCAGGCAGATTAAACCGCTCATCTCCTTACATGTTGCAAGCCACCGAGTCGCTGCACTGATGCAATCGGGGATTAAGTGCCTTGCTTCACGGCACTTCAGCAGAAGATGTTGCGGGAGAGAGGATGCGGTTCCTCGTGCTGAATTTTAAAGCGCTTTTTGGGGCGTTAAAGTTAACCGTTTAGGCTCCGGCCGCCCCGATGTTTGCTTTGACAACGAATGACTCCTGTTCTCACATCATCCTCATCAGGTTACAGTGGTTATATAGGAAAGGTCTTATTGTGGAGGTTGGCATGTTGAGAGTGCAGTACTTAATGGGAGAGGGCAATTTGTTGAATTTTAACTACAGGGGGTTAATGAGGAGGTAGAACCGTCTTTTCCATCATGTTTTACCTCCAAGCCCTCGTTAGAGTAAAGTCTGAAACTGTGTATATATTTACTGAGATTTACAGAAGAATAGCAGTTTACAAAAGTACAGTGTATTTCAGCAGATGTCTGTTTGTGGAAGTGGAATAAGGGTAATGAAGAAAACATACTGTCGTGGTTTATCGTCTTATTCATATTACTTATGGAACACACACAAAGAGAAAATATATGTACATGAGATTTTTAACCTACGTGGTGGACGCCGTCCATCCACCGCTCTTTTGTTTCAAGCTTATTTATTCAGCTAGGTTCTGTACTTGTCACAGAGGGCAAAGGGTCCTCTGAAAATATGCCTCTTTTATAGTAATTGTATGCAGACCTGGGATAAACTGGCACCGAAACGTACTCCGTACACCGGTGCTGGTGGATTTGTCTGCCGCAACGCGATCCTCGTCAGTCACATTCCCTCCTCTTTGCCCATTTCACACCAAGTACTGTGCATCCATCACGTAAACGTTACTCTCAGTTCAAAAGAGGAAGGAAGGATTGCGGTTGCCGCTGTGGCAGATGAATACAGAAAAAAACGAATTACTCTGTAAGAAAAAAGTTTTGCAAGAGTTCAGCCTCGTTAAAGGAGCGGAGAAGCTGATCTCTTGACATTTTGTCCCAGGTCTGATGATGTTCTGGTGGCTTTGGACAACAGTGAGTTGCCTTTAAAGGTAGACTTAGTTATCTGATGATCGCCACTCCCAAACAGGGTCTGACACTTGCCACGGATGGTACGTCTGCATTACGCTAAATTCAGAAAAAAACTTTTGTGGGTTTGTGAGTTGCAGTGGACATAAAAAAAAACTTTATTTAGAAGTTTTATTTCCCATTGATTCCTAATAATTTCCTAAAAAATGGACTGAAAGGTTCATTCTAAATAATTGGTAGCAATTCTACTTGTAACTTCTATATAATTAACTGGTTCTCGCACTATGTGTGGAAATTTGTCTTATTTGCGCTTTAATTTGTACCAAATTTCTTCACTTTTCCAACAAACTTTTGACATTTTTAAAGGATAGGTTCACAATACTTCAAGTCTGTGTTAAAACAATACTCATATGCTGTAATCGTTCCTCCTGTTCATGCTGGACATTAAGAGATCTTTTCCCGATGAGCTTCTGCACACATGATAAATTTCCCTAAATAAAGTCAAATCACAGAACAAAACCTCAAAATCGGTGTTAGAGAACCGGTTGGTTTCTGGGTCTGTGCAGAATATGATGAAGCTGCTATCTATAGTATGCTCTATCATGGCCACTTTCCACTTCCAAAGTTTTTACTTGCCACTGACGCCAAGTTCTTGCTCGTGGTGGGAATTGTTGGAACAGATAACTTCTCTCGTGATTTGGCACTATGCAAATAAAATTGAATTAAATTGAATTAATTAACTCAGAATGCTAAAGCATCACAATAGCTGCAAGCATTCTGGCCATTCACTCCTGCACAATAGAGATTTGGGTCTTCTCCTGTCCTGTTATTTTACTGTCAGTTACAACTGAGAAATGTCTCTGAATGTCAGACTTTCCTTGTTTTGCTGCTGTTCCTTAAAACCCAGCTTTAATCTTCTTCTTCTTCATTCGTTGACTCCATCCTTTTAAGATTAATCCCAGGACCCACAATTTATTTTCTGACCGCCCAGCAAAGTGAAAACCGCCTGCTCCCTGGGAGATTTGCCTTGGGTCTCATGGGATCCCAATCCCAATGTAGTCTGCTATTCCAGATAAACTTTGGAAGGAGGACTGTAGATCCATCACTTTCATCACTTTCATTGGACGTACTTATCAACCGATATGGGTTTCTCAATGGCCGATGCTGATATATGATGCAGAACTCAACACAAAGAAAATGTTAATGTATAATACTTTTCTGTTCTGCAGGAAATTCAGATATATGTTTACAGCAGGATGTATGAGAGTTACAGTGCAGGACTCTAAACCAACCTTTTCCCTGACAAGCTGCCTGCAGATGTGCCTGAGGACATTTTTGTTTGTCAGCCTAATGAGCGCAATCATTGGCCAATGCCGATTAATCAGCCACCCAATTAGTTGGCCTATCACTAATTGGAAGGAATGATTACAGCAGGAAGAACAGTGTTTTAATATTCATAAAGGCACCTGATAGAAATGTGAACCTTTCCTTTAAGACATCAAGGAACCTGAAAAATAAAAGTGAATCCCGTCACATTAACATACTTAATTCTGCCTTCTGTTAAAGTTTATTCTTGACTACAGTTGCCTTGGACTACATCCAAGACCATGAATGGCATGAAAAAGATCTTCTAACCTTATAAACTGTCCACAGGTTTGTTAAAAAAAGTTTCCAACCTATAAACAGAACCCATCTCTGGCAAACATATCCGTGAGTTTGGAGTGTGGCTTCACGTGGCTAAGTCTTCCTTTAACTTGCCTGTTGTTGCCTTTAGTTTCTAACGTTCTCTTTTCTTAAAAACAAAAAAAAAATATATATATATATATAAATATATATATATGTAGGTGAATAAAAACATATCAAAGGTAGTATGGGCAGACTTTTTGAAGTAACAAGATATACTGAAGTTCTTTGGATAATATCACAACAACTAGTATGACTTCTTCTGAGGATTTTATCAGATATAGCTTTAAGAGAGATTCAATTCAGTTTGTTTTTCTTATAAAGAAAAGAAGAGTTTTCTGTAAATACCGTTTGATTTTCATTTTGTTTTGGGTTTTTTGACTAAAATGGGTTGATTATAAAATCAAAATGAAAAAAATGGGACCTTGGCTCACTTCTTTACATGCAAAATGATGCACCATTTTGTTTGTGGATTTTTTTATAGAGTCGTCATTGTAGTCCTTTCCAGCCGGGTATCAAATATCAGCTTGTGTAAATAGAAAGACCAACAGAAGCTTTTGAAAAGTTTTGTATTTTTATTTCTTGCTCTTATTTAAGATGAAAGTCATCCTCCTTTGCACATAATGTTAGACCATTTTTATGACAACGCTTATATTGGATAGGCATGTTTACGTTACTGACTTGAGAAGATTTATTCTGTAATTTTATTTCTAACGAGACAAAGTTTAATTATTTAAAATGTTAACATGACTGGTACAGAGATGATTTTTTTTCTATGTTTGGTTTGGTTTTACTGTCCCACGCCAATTATATACCGATAGCACCATGTTCTGTTAACGATGAAATGTCAATAAAAGTGAAAACTTCATTGTCTAAGATGTGTTTTTCATTCAGTGGATTATTTTGAGTTATTCTGTAATATCCAGATCTCATTCTACTGAACTCTCTAATACAGATCTTCATCCAGTTAAAGTCTAATTTCAGAATCTTCCTCCTCTTATCGACTCTACAATTAATCATCTTTCTCTCTGGACTATATAATGACATCATACTAAATGCTAAATGCACGAAATTTATGTTTTTTGCATTAATTTGAATGACCAGGATCATTTATAGCTTATAGTTATTAACAACACAGGGTTCCCACTCTTTTTCAGTCTTTCTTGACGATACGGGACAGCACTTGCTTACAAACGGTCATATAAGCTGTTGTTTTTTGGGTATATTGACTGCATTAATTTGGCCACAGCCCATAAGTAACAGCTCAAATAGAATTTATTTTTATAATTTATTTTACCGAAATTTAATCTTATAGAACAATGCTTCACATTAGCTAGCTTTTGGACAAATGTGTCTGTCTTCTGGAGCTTCTCCAGCACTCTGAGATCAGTGAGTGGAGCTGATGGTGACTGTGCCCGGTGTCCAACTTCTTCTATTCTCCATAATCCATCCTGTATACATCCCTTCCCCTGGACAGACTCTGCTAACACACCCGGACACCAGCCTGTACTGTCTCCAACCTCAACATCCCAGCTGTGAGTCCCTGAGTTAAAGCCCTCAGAGCCCAGAACAGAGTAGTAAGAATCAAACCTCTCTGGATTATCAGGAAGCTGCTGTTTCTCTCCTACTCTCACAGAGGTCAGATCTTCAGACAGGCTGAGTCTTGGATGAGCAGTGTTTGGATCCAGAATCACAGGACTGTAGGAGACCATGTCCTTCATCTTGTTCCAGATGTTGAAGGTCAGGTTGCCCAGGTGTTTGGCCTCGTCTATCAGATCTCCTGGGAGCAGCTGTGGATCCTCCAACAGGGGGCGCTGCTGGACTCTTTCCACTGCAGCCTTGTAGTTGTTCAGGAATGAGACGTCTTCAGCTCTCAGCTCCTCCTCTGTGGCTCTGACTGTGTCTGAAAGAGCTGTTATCTCTCTGCTCAGAGCCTCCATCTTCTCCTTCATCATCTGACTCTTCTGATCCTCTTCCTTCCTCAGTGCAGCCAGCCTGGCCTCCTCTTCCTCTTATTTGCTTTTCTTATAATGGCAGTTGGCCAACCAGTGTATAGTTGCATTATTGCCATTATTGAGGCGTGGTCCTGCTCCAGAGTCAACTAGTTATCTTCATTTATGGGCAAAGTCCTAAAGACAACATCTACTGCACTTTATGTAGTGACGGTGATATCTGAGTGCAGTGAGGTAGAGATCATAAACTGGACCGTTTGTAGTCGTTACTGTTTGTCAGGTCTTATATTCTGTGATTTTTTTGAATGTTAAAACATTTATTTACAATAAAAACTCCACAGTGTGTCTTCAACACTTCAAAAATATAATAGTATAAATCAGTTGTGATGATTTTAAATCTTTAAAATTAATGAGACACAAATGCAAAAATCAAACCTCTTTATTTCAGCCATACTGTTAAAACAAATGATTCAAATTCAAATCTCACTAATGCAGCTAAACTGTCAGCGGAGGGATTTCAACCATCAACTGACCAAATATTAGTCTGTACTTCTGCCATCCAAAGCACGAAGAGTAACCTTCAGACAGATCAAATCAGTAGATTTCTCAGCTTGAGCATCACACACATAACCTGGCACCTGTTAGCTTTGATGTCATAATTTGACAGAATTAATGGACAGAAGCTAATCATCTGTGGTCTCCTTCACTTACAGTAGTTATACTAAAGCAACACTGAATGTAGCTCAGACGTGTTTTTCTGTCAGTATAGAAACAGTTGAATACAGAACTCCATTTTACATTAACTGAGCTGTATAACAGGTATCTCATCCAAACTTTAGACACACAAGCTCATTAACACTACAGCATCTTCCTCTTAAGAGCAGCAGTGGATCACAGCAATAAGCACGTTGGACTTCAGCGTCGGCTTTGTTTTCAGATTTTCGGTGGGTTCATGAATGCAGCGTCTGACCCAGTAGTGACTCCACGTTCTCCACTAGAGTTCGGCTCACATGAACGCCTCCTGTTCCCCCAACCTGCACCTGTACCAGGACCAGGACCAGTTTAGTACCAATTGGTGCAGGAGATCATGAAGCACATGTTGTCCACCTTCTTGTTTCCCATCTTGCACTGGGGCAGCTCTCCCGGGGTGTCTGTGGGAGTCAAATGCAGCAGTCTGTGTGATATTATTTATTCTATTGCAGCTCAGTCGTATTAAAACATGGTCTATGTATAAAGATGGACGACTCCACTTCCTGTACAGTAATGACGTCAGAATATCTTCCAGTGGAGACATTCAGGGCTGAGTCTGTGCTGTAGTGACAGAGGTTGACGCCGCTCGAGGTTGTCGTCCATCTTTATATACAGTCAGTGTATTCATTTATTATGATTGGATGTTTTTGCTTTTGTAAACTTGTTGAATGTATATATTTTGTAGAAGTGGCCCATTCAAATCCTTAACTTAAAGAGTAATTAAACCCCCAAACCACTTTCTCCTGCTGAAACCCTCTATATAGAGAGAGAGAGATATTTACAAGTGCAGGCAGCAGAATCGAGGGGTTTAGTTACAATTTAAGCAAAAGTACCAAAGCAGATAGATAGATAGATAGATAGATAGATAGATAGATAGATAGATAGATAGATAGATAGATAGATAGATAGATAGATTAGCATTAATGTAAAGAAAATGAAAAGTCCTGCATTCATAGATTCCTAGACACGTTTTTTAGAGAACCACTGGATTTATCTTCAGCAATGTGATGTATCTTAATATCTTATATAGTAAGAAGATGTCTGTCAGATAAATGCAGTGAAGTGAAAAAGTACAATATTTCTGTCTTAAATGTAGTGGAGTATAAGTATAACGTAGTAAAATGGAAATAATGAGTAGATTATTGATACAGTATTGAATAATGAATGATGAATTTGGGTGTTTGTACCTTCAGAAGCAGCCGATCCGGAGCTGTCAGCGCCGGGAGATTCTTCAGGTGTTTCAGTCTCCTCTTTACTCTCCTTCCTCTCATGGCTCTGCTGTCCTCCCATCATCACCGTCACCAACACAGCGAGTCACACCTGAGCGAAGATACACAGGTAAATGCATCCAGGTTGACTGTTTGTAACAGTTTATACAGGCAGCAGTTTAATAATCCAGTCTACACGGAGAGGATAGGGAGGTACTGCGAGAACCAGGCCAACGCGTTATTGTTGGTTCTGGTCTTTTTATGGGATTTGTTGACAGAAATAAGACACAAAGAAGAACACAGGACATATACTGTGAGACTGGACCTGAGGACCAGATCTTGAAAAAGTCTACCTGAAGAGGAGTCAAAGGACAGACAATCTGTTTGACTCACTGAGTGGACAAAGATAGAAAGAGCTTGATAGAGAGAAAGAGATGCAGATAGAGAGGAAGAGGAAGAGAGATCACAGCCGCTCCGGGTTATCAGCTCGGACATCTCTAATCCGTTCCAGAATGATCTGTCCAGGACGCCAATCCAATCAAACACAACTCAATCAGACACAACTGATGGGATCATCTTACTCTGATTAACACTTTACACCATCGCTGTGTGCGAGCTGAGAGAGCTTTCCCGGTGGTCTGTCTGTAATGCATGCTGGGAAATTACACAAGACTCCAAGGACTGAGGACAAACAGAAACACCAAGATGAGAAGAGCCCAGCAGCACCGGTCCGACAGAGCCGCAACTCATTTGTACAGAGAACAAAATGTCAGAAAATGAAGACAAATGTCACCGGCTTTCAGACGGCAACGGATTATTTAGTCTGAACAACCCACAGAGATTATGTGACATTAAAAACACTGCAAATCTTCACATTGGAGAAGCTGGAATATACACTTGGCATTTATATTTAATGAATTATTCAAAGGAAATGATTCATTATTTAAATTATCATCGTTTTCTGTCAACTTTCAGTGGTGCAGAAAGTATTCTGATATCACTACTACCAATACCACACTGTAACAAATACATAAATAAATAAAAGTCCTTCATTTTAAACCTTACTAAAGTAAAAGTATTAAAGTATTATAGCAACATGTCAGTGTTTTACTATTATATAATGTTTCTGGATTAAAGATGAGCTAATGTTGCTACTGTTGGGTAGGTTAATCTACAGCATGTTATTTTAGAGAAAAATATATGTATATTAAGATATATATTTTCTATATCAACTTGTTTTTACATTTTTACATAGGTTTACATTTGGGCCACCTGTGGCCAGTGGCCTAATATAGGGAACAATTAAGCTACATCAACCGCTAGTTTGCTGTCAGCACACGTCTGCCTTCTGTCTTACAGAATGAGGACTTTAATGTAACGTTAACTTGCTTTCATCGTGTGGTGTTTTATCTTCATGTTCCCTGTTAATATGAAGAAATGAATTCATCAGCTGAACCCTTTATATCCCAGATACAGGAGCCACGAGCTGGTGGGCTGTCGGGGTGTTTCTGCCTCGATTCTGACATAAACAGGAACAAAATGCTGCTGAATATTTTCACACTCCCCAGACTGATTTTATTCACAGCACAGTGACAAATGGAGATTGTAACCAGTGTGTCAATCTGCTAGTAGAAGTAATGGGTGGCAGTAAAACAGGGAGCACGCCTTTCAAAATGAGAAATTAACGGCCTCACAAATGTGTTACGGCTGCGGGTCTCTGGCCGAACCACAAAGCAATAACTTGTGATAATTCCCACATAAAAGTTGATTATGGTGCCAAACTTTACTCCAGACCTAAATATAACATCAGACGAGCAGCTTCTGCAGGGCGGACGTTAAGATGTAACCACGGGCGGCGAGTAGGGGAGAGAGCGGGGTTGGTTGTCACATCCATTAAAGCTCACCGAGCCCACAATGGGGTTGTCACAAGTGCACAAGACCTAGTTTCAGTTGGTTACACTCTGCATCTTCACCACTAGATGTCACTAAATCCCCCTCACTGGTCCTTAAAGCAAAAGTACTAATAACAACCTCAGTTTGAAAATACTCTACAACAAGTAAAAGGCCTTCATTTTAAACCTTACTAAAGTAAATGTTTTACTATTATATATAATGTTTTTGGATTAAGGTTGAGCTAACTTCCAATAATAGCCGGGTCCCAAATAGAAGCAGGTCTCCTTTAAAGGCCTGGTGTGGATTTTATAGAAATGATCTCGATGTATAAAACCTCTTAAAACCCACCGGGTCGCCCTCCTTGAGCCAGTTTTAAGCCGTTTAGATCGCTACACATGTTTAAACGTCACAAGTGCACAAGACGTATTTGATGGTCCGAATCTTTTGAACAGAATAAGCTTCACTCAGTTCCTACAGGACACTTTGGGCTTCCATCACACACTGAAAGAGAATGAAAATAAAAACCACGTTCTCCCCTAAAATAAAGATGATTGAGGACCAAATCTTAATATTAATTTGATATTATCTGAAGGTTTGTGTTAATTCTTTTTCCTTCCAAATAAAACAGATTTAAATTGGACCCGAGCAATGTAACAGGCGAGCAGCGTAACAAGTTAATCTGAGCTACACATGCTTCATTCATGAACTTAAAGAGCGTCTCCATCAGCATTCAGTGCAGTCGCCTCGCTTCCCCTCCCCAGCTGTCACAGCCGGAGAGAAAGCCGGGCTAAATATAGCTCCTCTCTTTCTTTCTCTCAGATATTGTTTGGGTTTTTTTGCCTTCTTATCTCCAGCGCTGCCCTCTTCGCTTCGGAATAAACTGGATCTGTCTCTCCCCTCGGAGGGGGGTTCATTTCAGCTGCTCTGTCCGTTCACCTTCTATTGTCCTGTGATGAAGGGTTGCTAGTTTGATTCCTACAGGAGACGACCCCCACCCACACACACACAGTGAAGATAAGCCTCCACCAAATGGTTATTCTGTCTGCTTTCTGTCAGTAAATGAAGAACTTCTGGCATGAATGAGCTTCAGGAAATAATTAAGATAAATAAAGTCTCCCCAGCAGATTAATTGCAGTCTATCTGCATTATTGATTCAGTTGAGGTGAGAGTGAGTTTGCCTCATTCTTCCTCAGTCAGCTTCACTTACACAGAAACTTCTATGTTGTTGGTTATTGTTGCTGCACGATGTGGTCATATTATATACACATTATTATTCTGACAGATAGTGTGATATGATTCATGATCAGCGTGGGAATCACTTGTAGGTCAGGTCAGCTCTGCAGAACCACAGTACTTCATTACAATGCTGTTTATACACACATTTTACCTTTAATCTGGATTCATTGTTCAGTCTTATTCCACATATTTGTATGTTTGTTTTTACCCATCTTGCTTTGCTGTCCTTGTTTGTAGCTGCGACTGTTTTTATCTACAACCCAACTGGTTCGGGCCCAGATCTGCTGCTGTAGGTCGGCTCGGACAGAACTATCTTTTCTTTTTTAACTATATATTTTATATTTTATTAAAAAAAACAACTTTTGAATGAATTTGTTTATTATATATTATTGATAATAATTTGCACTTATTATTATATAGTGTAGTTTCCTTGTAATAAACTATTTACATTATTTATTTAAAGTGGAAACTCAGGCTCAGTTCGGGTCTGAATAAAGTTCTACTGAGGAAGCAGGAAACCTTTAACTGCACTAAATAGAATAATATTAATGGAAGAGAACGCCAACAACCTTTGATCAATCATCTTTTAATGCTGTTTGAGTCTCATTAGGCCTGCATGTGCTATCAATAATAAAGGTGAATAATAAAATGAAAGATGTGTAAATGTGTCATTTATTGTTAATGTATGTTAGTGTAAGCTGTGGGCCTTATGTCGACCACACACTGTCTGTAACAGCCTCTCAGTCCTCCTCTGTTCATGTGACTGAACTACAAACTGACATGTTTACAACCCAGAGAGCTCCGCCTACAGTGTGTGTGTGTGTGTGTGTGTGTGTGTGTGTGTGTGTGAGCTGCTGTCAGGGAACATAAATTAATTTTATCCCACCTAGTCGACCCCCTCGTATCCTGTGAGACCCGTCCGTCTCTGTCGGCCGCTGGTTCCGATTAGTTTTCGGTGTTTCCAGGCAGAGTATCCGGACCGACGTGTCTGCAGAGCGGCTGACTCCGGAGATCGTCTGTGTTGAAGAGGAGGGATCACTCCGTGCGTTATAGGCACTGACAGTATATATAAAGGACACAGCTTCTGGTAAAGTGTCTTAAACCTGCAGTCTATGTAACAACCAGCAGGGGGCGGCTCCACTGGTTGCAATAACACACAGATACCATTCAGTCTTATGGAGAAATGAGCTGAATTCTCAGTTGATTTATTCCCTCAGTAAACAGTTTCCTGATGAGTTTCTGGTCTCAGTCTCTAGTTTCAGTCTTCTTCCATACAGCATGATGTTCATTTAGTAACTGATGGTCCCATTTAGAGTAAAACAGACCATAAAGCAGGGTATGCTTTAGGGCGGGGCTACCTTGTGATTGACAGCTCATTCAATGGGGGACGTTACGATAGGTTGACCCTTGGTTATATCAGATGACCCAGAACCACAAATGTAAACCTGCTGGAGGCGCTAGAGGAAATCTTCAGAAGACGTTTATTTCACGGCAATCCTTTTTCACAGCAGCCATTTTAACCTGAAATAGTAGGGTAAAACAACAGGTGCTCCAAACAACGGCCTGTACTAATTAAGGTCCCGTTCTGTTCAGTGTAGCAGAGCCACAACCTGACTGTGTTTGACCTGAATCATTGGTAACATCTGTGTTTACCCTACTCATAATGCTGGGAAAAAGGTTATTGAGATTCTTTAGTCTGGACCGAAGTGGTGGACGGACAGACTGACATTGTAAACCATGGAGCTGTTTGGCAGCAAACAGGCTAATAAAACATTTACATTCATTGTCTGTGATCCATTAAGCATTGATCTCGGCTGTATAATCTACTGCCTGCTGGTTGTTGTAGTCCGACAGTCTGGTAGTTCTGGTTTGAGGTGGGAAAGTAAAGCAGCTGTGCCTCCTCATGCCTCAACTGTTGTCTCTTTTAAAACCCAAACACAGTGTTAGAAAACTCTTCCAGTGAAATAATATCCCCCTGGGATTATTTAAGTATTTCTGATTCTGATTCTGATTCAGTAAAGTATAAATCTCACGTTTCCGCTGCTCCTCCAAGTTCATAATATATTATATTTTATTTGTTGATGGCTGACATTATTATATAGCCTACCTGCTAGAAATATTTTACTAATTTAAATCCAGTGGCAGGCGTCCATCAGGAAAATGATGTTAGATTTGAGCAGACAGAAACAGGCCGGAGTGAAACCTCGCTCTTCTTTTGGCTGCTCTTTGTCTCCTCCTCCGCTCCGGTTAGTCCCGCCCACCCCCCGACCTGCTGCAGTGACGTCACGCAGGTGGCGAGCTAATGGCAGTGTCAACAAACAAGACGTCACGGGGAATGGGCCGACGTGATTGGCTGCGCGCGCCGACGACCGAGCGCTGCACGAGGAAAGAGGAGGAGGAGAGCCGCGCGTGCAGTTGCTATGCAGGTTATTGAGGAGGGAAGACAGTCAGACAGACAGTTTATAGACAGACTGGGTCTTCTTATCGGGGACTCGAACACACACTCACTCTGAACATCTGGATTCAAACATCAGCATGAAAATGTGCGCTGGAGGCAAAAGTGAGACCCTGAACGCATCACTGAATGTACAACTGTACACTTCATACAGATTATACAATAACGTCATTATATTACCCAAATATAATAATGTTTATACTCACAGTATGTTTGAACTATATGATATACATATATTTATATTCTATTTATATTCTATTTATATTCTATTTATATTCTATATGGTCTCATCTTCTCTAAAGTCTCCACCTCTGACTCACTGTGTTCCACTCACTCATATTTCTGGATGATTATCTTTGCACGCTGCACATATTCTTTATTCTTTATAATATATTTGCACGCTGCACATATTCTTTATTCTTTATAATATATTTGCACGTTTCATATTCTTTATTGTTGACTTTTATTTGTCTCTTCTCTGACTGTGTTCATTGTTATGCTCCATAATATCAGCAGTAAACCTCATTCTGATGCGTCTGTCTGTATCCAGAGTCTGAACACACGCTGTAGTTATATTCTGTAGTGCATAGCAATAAACATAAAGAACTACACATACAGAGGAAGAGGAGACAATAATAGAAACACTATGACTGTTATTTAATGAAGAGCTGTGCAGCAATGTGCAGGTTAGCAGTGTGAAGGATGTTTGCATTAATGTAACACATAGATTCAAGGTTGTTGGTGGGTATAACATTTATTATTATTTCAATTCTTAAATTAAAATGATTTGAGCCCGCTGTGTTATGACTACAATATTAAAGAGTAAAACAAACGATTGAGGACATTAATTCATATTAATAACATTTCTTTATGCAACATGTTGTTCTTAAAAGTAAATGAAACATGTAAAAGCTTCAGTGCTCGTCTGTAAATGCTGGAATAAAACATGATTCATATTTATTATAATAATTATTATAATTTATAACGGAATAAATACACTGAAATAAAGCAGGAGGTGGTTTTAAATGGATACATTATTATATGTGCAGGCTCGGGGATTACATGTAACTGTAAGCCTCTATAGTTACAGAAAAATGTGTAATCAGATTACAGTTACATTTAGTAAAAATAGGGATTATTAGCAGAATTACAATTTTAAAATAAATAAAAGATTTCTGATGCTAAAAATGTTGTTTTCTAAGGTCACATCGATCCTCTGTCTTATAGGATCCACTCATCAATACTGCTTATTGATTCCTCTTTTCTCTTGGATCTTCACTGTACGTAGAAACCACTGTGCATATGACAATAAACCTCTTGAACCTTGTATTTATTAGCATATAATCCAAAGTAACAGAAAGTAATCAAGTTACTCTAATATTGTGATACTTGGATTGGGTTACTGACTGCTTACAGGTTATTAGTAACCCTCTCAACCTGTGTATGTGTGGTATCTTTGGTGATGGAGACATTTAAATAATGTGTGATATTTTACATATTCTCTCCATTCTCTTTGTTTATTGTAATGCAGCGATATACTAAGGTAAACTGTTTGTATGTGATGTAATGTTTAATGATCATTTTAACCAACAACAACAACAACAACAACAACAAACACAAACACATAACCAAACAACAATAATGAATATAAAATAAAATAATAATTAGGTCCTAATAACTTTCTCGTTGGTTAATCATTTATAAATAAAGTCAAAGAGTAATTGTAATTTAACACATTAATAAAAATAAAACGCTCTTTGACTCCTCGCTGTGTGCGTGCTACGTCCTACGTCATCACGTTAACCCGGTTGAGGCGGAAGTGAACACGTGCGGCAGCAGGAGGATCACCACGCAGGCTGAGCGACCGCGACCCTTCCTCAGGTACTGTAACCTCTTCATCAGCGAGTATATAGAGTTATTGATTAGAGCTGTATCAGCGGGGGTCGAGTCCCAACTGCCGACAGGTGACCCGGTTACCTGCGGTGACGTGTTTCCTGTCTGTGGCTGACAGTTAGCCTGTTAGCACCGTTAGCCTCTGATAGCTCACTGTGTGCGGGTCTTACTCACGGAGCCTGTTCTCTCTGCTCCAGGATCAGAAGTGAACCCTCATCTTCCTCATCTTCCTCCTCTTCCTCATCTTCCTCCTCTTCCTCCTCTTCCTCCTCCTCCTCTTCCTCCATCATGGCTGTGAGAGCCTCGTTCGAGAAGAACAATGAGATCGGCTGCTTCGCCAAACTCACCAACACCTACTGCCTGGTGGCCATCGGCGGCTCCGAGAACTTCTACAGGTACACACTCTATATACACACTATACACACATATACACACTCTACACACTATACTACACACTCTATATACACACAGAGACACACTATATACACTATATACACTCTACATACACACTCTATATACACACTCTATACACACTATACACACTATATACACTCTATATACACACTACACACACGACACACTCTATACACACTATACACACTACATACACACACTATACACTCTATATACACACGATATACACACTATATACACTCTATATACACACTCTACTACACACTCTATATACACACATATACACACTACATACACACTATACACTCTATATACACACTGTATACACACTATACACACACTATATACACACTACATATACACACTACACACACTATATACACACACTATACACACTGTATACACTATACACACTATATACACACTCTATATACACACTCTATACACACTATACACACTATATACACACTACACACTCTATATACACACTATATACACACTCTATATACACACTATATACACACACAGACACACTCATATACACACAGAGACACACACACTATACACTTTATATACACACTCTATACACACACTATATACACACTCTATACACACTCTATATACACACTCTATACACACACTATACACACTATACACACTCTATACACTACACACACTCTATATACACACTATACACACTCTATATACACACAGACACACACACACACTACACACTCTATATACACACTTTATACACTGTATATACACACTCTATACACACACAGAGACACACTATACACACACTATACACACTCTATATACACACAGACACACTATACACACTACACACAGAGACACACACTATACACACTACACACTATACACACTATATATACACACTATACACACTATATACACACTATATCACACTCTATATACACACTCTATACACTATACACACTCTATATACACACTATACACACTATACACACTCTATATACACACTACACACACTATACACACTCTATATACACACACTACACACTCTATATACACACTATATACACACACTACACACTCTATATACACACTATATACACACTATATACACACTATACACACTCTATATACACACTCTATACACACACTCTATATACACACTCTATATACACACTCTATACACACACTATATACACACTATACACACTATATATACACACTACACACACTATACACACACTATACACACACTATATACACACACTATATACACACTCTATACACACTCTATATACACACTATACACACTATATACACACTATACACACTCTATACACACACTCTATATACACACTATATATACACTATA